GGGGATCTTAGCTTTATTGTCTTGACTTATAAAGCGCCTATCTCTACACTTGCTGTTAAAAATGAATCATCCACATAACTTGAATGGTGTTTTAACTTAAATGGTGAATAGAACAGTGGGGTGTCTTATTTCTTTCAAACAAGTTGCTCTATTTTGGCAGCAACCTAGTATATGAAGCTCTTCTGCTAAGATGCTAGCCTCTCTTTTCTAGCTTGGTACCAATCTCAACAAGCAATTTGAGGCTCTGTATAAAAGGATTCAAAAATTATTAGTGATTAGGTTTAGAAACCAAAAATTATATTTGGGTCTAAGATAAACCATTAGAATTCTTTATTTGCTAAAGTTGTACTCTCACTCTATATACTTCGAATTATCTTTTTTTTTGGGCATCCAAAGATCAGAGTTCAGCAAGTTGAATGATGACTTGAACGATTAGCTCAAATTGTTCTACTTCATTTGTAAGGCTATTTCAGCACATACTTTGAGAGTTTTTTTTACTTTCAGTGAACACTTGCTGTAACAATAAAAGTTGTAACAAATACTTAATATTTTTCAAAAAAAATATTATTTTAACTTATTATAACTTATGATGGAATAATATTACCTGATTCATGACAGTTTTCTTTTCAGCCTTGAATTTTGTTTTGACTTCATATTGTTAATCAACTTGTTCAGATTAGTGGCGAGGTCCTTCGTCTTTTTAATGGTTTCTTCTTTAACATCATTCAATAGACCACCTCTTTTCTGCTCTTGACAACAATCAATTGTTATTTTTTGATTCAAAGCAATGAACTTTGCTTTAATTTTATCTTAAGCATAAGCCTTGACTTTTTTGTCTCAATTTGAACTGCGCTGGATGTGCTGTGTCAAAATAATCAGTTGAATTATCAATAACATCATCTGTCAGCTCAATAAGTTGCTCTGAATTGGGCTGAAACTCCTAGGAGGAAAAACTGGTAGTAAAAAGAACAGATTGCTTTGTTATTTGCTTTGCCAAAAACAACAATAAAGAGCCATATGATTTCTAGACCATCATTTTTTAATAGAGTCTTTCTATTAAAATAAAAAAATAAAAAAATATCAAGCTTGAGTTTCTTACCTTCAATTATTATATATAATAATATTACATTCTCTAACATTAACTTCATAACAAAACATGTTTACATAAAAATTACCAAAAAATGTTGGCGTCCAGTGCAAGTATTAGTATGTCATATCTATATCTATAGAAAAATCCTCAAAAAAAGTTTAAATATATATTTTGACTTAAAAGTCAAGAAAGATCTTTAAATAAAGATTTGATACGCAATTGGTTTTTTTTTTGATTGCCATCAGATCATTAACTTTTTTTAAAACTATATCTTGCAATATTTTTATAATTAAAATGCTTATATAAAATATCACTATATAGTATTTAGATAAATATTAACTTACTAGCTGAATTGACCCGTAAAAATACAGGTCTTGGTAAGTCTATTCCACACAAACCTTTTCCCTTATTTTCTTAATCTAGCTGCCCGTATCGGTAAATACAGGTCTTTTCTTCTACTTCTATATTTATCTATTCCACGCCAATCATTTCTTTACTTGTTCCTTATTTACTTCAATATTTTTTAGTAAACGGTGGAAAAAAATTCATTTAAAAAATTTGCTTTGAGAGCAAAAAAAAACTTTATCATGCGCACTTTTTCGGCATACGTATAAAGCTTATTAAACCCCGTTTATTTATTTATTTTTTTTAAAATTCTGAACTAAACTACTTCCTACTTTTAGACCAGCCATGGACCATGGTTTATGGTCGCGTCCTAGCTATTTTCAATAGTTACTATTTAGTATATTTATTATTATTATTATATGCTTAGTTTTGAATAATAACAGTCTTTTATAGTTACCTTTGTATTAGACGGAAATGGTAATGCAATTCCTTAAAACCTAAGTCGCTTAAAGCGTCAAAAGTCATGCAAAAAAATAAATTATAAATTTTGTAGTTTAAAAGTTGAAAAACTAATAATAATATAACAAAAAGGTTGGTAATTTTTAATCGTTATTAGTTAGCTCTTACTTATGGTATTTATTTTGTTTTCATTTTACATTTTAAAAAAAATATTAAAGCGTCTAACTACATGCATAACTTTGGTAGCTTACAAGTTAAGTGCGCAGTCATCAGAGTCGCTGTGCAGAGCTTCAAATCCGCGCCTAAAAAATCTCAATACATTTTTTAAAATTTTTTTAATCTGGCAATATTTATAGCAAAAAATTAAATATAACAAAAAACCTTTTAATTGCTTTTTTTTTTCCTGCCTCCACTGCAATACCATGTGGCAGGATGGTTTTATCAAATTTTTTCCTTATTAGGTTTTAGGACCTTTTTTTTAAGACTATCCGTAGCTTATTAGGACCAATTAGGCGAGAACAGTATCAAAATCATGACACACACGCAACAAATTTTTGCCCCGTTTATTGGTGTTTTTAGAAATCCAAAAAGTTTATAAAATTTAAAAAGAAAAAACGGTTAAAGTGTATAACATTTAACTTGTTTAACTTCACAAATATTTTGTAATTTAAAGATTCTAAGAAAAAAATCGCTGGTGGTAAATTTGAACCAAGACTATTACGTTCTGCAGCCATATTCTCATCTCTCCGTTAAGCTTAACGGAGCGTTTGTCAAAAATTTCTTTTTAAAGATATTAATAAAAAAGTTCTCTAAAAATATAAATTTTTAAAAATAAATATTTTATTTAAGTATTAGTTTTATTTTAAAAAATTTAAATAAGATTTTCGTCATTTATTTCCTTAGATATATTGTAATGAAATTTCAGACAAAAGCTCCGTTAAGCTTAACGAAGACATGGAAATACGGCTGCAGAAGCTTAACTTGCTAACCACTCGGCCATGCTGACACATCAAATATCGAAATTTTAAAAATATACAAAAATTGTTTTAATGGAATTGCTGTAGATAAAATTAAGAAGAGGTTGACGCAATGCAATTTTTAAGTCAAAGTCAAACTATAAAACTTGAAAAATGTTTCAGTATGTTTTATCATTGCTTAATTACGTACGTTAGATATTTGCATACACGTTTTCTTATAAAAAAAGTGTTGCGACTCTTTCTACTAACACTATTAAGTTGAGCATTATTATATAGAAGATAGATTGATTATAAAATAGTTTTTCACTTAAAAGGACAAACTCTATTCCACATTAACCTTATCTCTATTTGTCCCTCTAATATTTTTTAGTGATCAATAGATTATGTGCTAGAAAAAAAAAAATTCACAAATGCACCTTTTCTGTATATTTATATTTAGAGCTTAACATGAAGAAGGTAAATCATTTAGTTCAAGACAACCTGCCCAAACCCAAATCCTCTGTTGATTTATGCACACTCACTGTGGCTAAGCGTGTAAAATAAGTAGCTTGGCAAGTCAAATAAATTAACTTGATCTGTTTTTCTGCATAAAACAAAAACAGAAAATGTGAAGTACTTGATAAAAGGAACTGTAATATTAGATTTAGTTAATTCAATACAAAGTGATAGGAAACTGCAAAATAAGGTAACAACGTGAAAATTATTCAAATACTAATTTACAACAGTTTGTATTGCGTTTTATTAAAATAGCTTTATTAAATGGTATGAAGATTGATGATTCTTCTTCTTCGCCTTTAGAAAATGATTAACGATTTGAAAGACTTTTAAATTGATTATAAAAGCATTATCTAAAAATGAAATAAAATCATTATTGATAACACTGAAGGCACATTTGTTTTATGTTAATTCATTTGAAAAATGAAAAATACGAAACAAAATTTAGTAATATTAAATAAATATTAGACACTTACTAATATTTGGTTGGAAGGCTGGAAATACTCTTTTTTTTAAAAAAATTCAGTTTTATCAGCATTGCTAAAGATAAAAATTCTTATTGACACAAAAAAATTTGGCATTTTTTCTTAAAATATTTCTTGGCTTTTAGTGAATGATTAGGTGTAAGTTTCAGTAATGAAGCTACCCAATAATCATTTTTAACGATAGACACCAACATGAAGGTAGGCCAAGCTGTTTATCAACACAAATCATCACAACAACATTACAGGATGATAAACAATAACACCAGTAGTGTAAGCGGGATTTTTGTTGTTTCAGATATATATTTAGAAGCTGTTGAAGAGTTTAACTTTGTTACGTCTAAAAAAATTCAGGTTAGGAAAAACACTTTTTTGAAACATTTATTCCTAAGCTTTAACAACATCAATTTTTTGCAAAGTATTTTAATTCTATAAACGTGAATACACTTGAGTTTGGTTGAAAGTGCTATCTGAAGCATCAAAAGACCCTGCCTATGCTACTGAATACACATAGTATATAATATTTTTACATAACACATTTGCACATAACACAAAATATTCAGATTATGTGTTTCCAGAATAATTAAAAAAGCTAGACAACACAACCTAGCTCAACACTTGTAACACCGCTTGGCGCTAAACGCTGCCAAGTAACACCGCTTGGCATTAAGTGCCAAGTTACACCACTAATTAGTAACACCGCTTGGCTAGCAAGAATCACAATCTTGCACTACACGTTGCCAAGTAACATCACTTTTCACATGGAAACAACTTAATATAAACTTATATAAACTTAAGCACATAAATATAAATAAAGATATATAAACGCATATCTGATTAATTTTTTGCTATACTAATCTAAAATGAACAAAAACAATAAAGTGCTATTTATCAGTTTAAACCTATGAAACTATGTGTATAGCGTCTAATAAAATTTATGAACAAAAATTATAACTAAACTGGTTTGAAACAGAGAAAAGCCAGAAGTATCTTGTAATAACATACTATATTGTAAATAATAAAACAGTGTTTTTTGAAACAAATAAACAATTTTATTATTTTAAAAGTCATATTAATGGTAATATTAAAAAGTAAAATTAGTTACAAATTAATTTTAATAATACTAAATTAATTTTAATAATACTAATTTAAAAATGACATGCCAACAATTGCAAACATGTTGCATCATATAGACCACATGTGGCTGACAACTGATTTTAAATACTATTTTATAATATATCTAAAGAGAATAATGTAAAGAGATTAATAGGTGTATAGTGTGTATATTAGACATACTAAACAGATATCATAGAAAAAGAAAAATTCTAAATATATTTACCAAATCTTTCAAAAACTATATAACACTTAACAAATAAAAGTTGATACAAAAGAAAATTTAGTATTATTAAAATTAAAAATGAAGATAAAAATATGTAAAAATGTAAATTAATAAAAAAACTTATAGACAAATTATTAAAATTTTTTATAACATAAGAGTTCTTTTGTAAGTTTAGGATTTAAAAACAGAATTAAAAATCAAAAAAATAAAATATTGAAAGTATAAAAATTAAAATAATAAAAAATTGCAAAATTAAAAAAAACATTTTTTTAAAAGTCAATTTTCTTTATATTTAAAGATAAAGATAATTCTACCAGTAGCTTAAAAAAGCTACTGGTAGAAATTAATAGAGTTGAACTGCTTCCCAGCACCCCTTCTTCTACCAGTGGTGTCATATGGGGCTTGTCTTCTCCATCTAAAGGAGGGATCATCTCCCCCATATTGACACCACCGGTAGAAAGCTCTTTGAGATATCGGACCTGAGTGCTGGGAGCGATATCGCAGGAAATCTTGATGCGATGCTAAAAAACAAAAACAAAAAAAGAAATAAATTTGAATACAATACTGCACAAAACAACCAATAAAAATATTATTTAAAACTATTTAGACTTAAAAAAAAAAAGTTATGACAAAAAAAAAAAAAAAAATAAAGTAATGTAAAAATAAGGATACACAATGTTTAAATTTCATATATACCTACACAAATACACATAACACCCATAAAACTGCAATAGCATGCAAAACAGATTACCTGATGGTCCTGCAGATATTGTTGCTATTATAGAAATAAATAAAAAATATGAACTAACACATATATTAAACAGTTATGTAATTGCATACAAACATGAAAAAAGTAATGCTTAGGTTTCAATACACATAACACTGCATAGGTATGGAAAAACTGCATAAGTATGGAAAACACATTACCTGGTGGTACTGCAGTTGATACTGTTGCTATTGCTGAAATAAATAAAAAAGTATATAAACAAACACATATTAAACAGTTATGTAATTGCATACAAACACGAAAAAAGTAATGTTTAAGTTCCAATACACATAACACTCATAAAACTGCATAAGTATGCAAAACACATTACCTGATGGTACTGCAGATGATATTGATGCTATTGTAAAAATAAAAATAAAAAGTGTATGAAGTAACATATGTTAAGCATTTATGTAATTGATAACAAACATGAAAAAAGTAATGTTTAAGTTTTAATACACATAACACTCATAAAACTGCATAAGTATTTATAAACATTTAAGTAATTGATTACAAACATGAAAAAAGAAATGTTTAAGTTTTAATACACATAACATTCATTAAACTGCATAAGTATGCAAAACACAATACCTGATGGTACTGCAGATGATATTGATGCTATTGTAAAAGTAAAAAAAAAAAAGTGTATAAAGTAACTTATGTTAAACATTTATTTAATTGATAACAAACATGAAAAAAGTAATGTTTAATTTCAATACACATAAAACCCATAAAACTGCATAAGTATGCAAAACACATTACCTGATGGTACTGCAGATGATATTGATGCTATTGTGAAAGTAAAAAAAAAAAAAGTGTATAAAGTAACATATGTTAAACATTAATGTAATTGATAACAAACATGAAAAAAGTAATATTTAAGTTTCAATACACGTAACACTCATAAAACTGCATAAGTATGCAAAACACATTACCTGATGGCACTGCAGATGATATTGATGCTATTGTGCTAATGTAAAATGCTATATCTTTATCTATAATACACAAATGAAATATAATCAAATTCTGTTTACCCATTGAGTGTTCTACTTTTTCTAAATAAAATGAAAAACTTATAAACATTAAAATAAACTAACTTGCCACATATAGAATAACTTGATGTTAATTAAATATGTAATAAAAAAAATAAAGAGCATGACAACAACAATAACAAATTGCTTACTTAGATTCTTAACTGAATCTTCTAATTTTTTTTAATAAAATAAATTTAAAAGTTAAAAAAGTCACTTGCTGACTGACAAACTGTCACAAGTGACAAAAGTCAGTTGCTAAATAACTTTAAAAAAACTAAAAAAGCATAACTGTATTTGCACACACAAAAAAAAATAAAACAACAACAAAAAAATTCCTGACTTAGCTTGTCCATTACTTCCGCTAAACATTAAAAAAAAGTTATAATTAACAAATTGCTGAAATTGGTGAAAATATATATCTTTTTAACATATCCTTCTCATACAAAATTAGCTTACTTGGCAAGAGCTCTTTCTTAATAAAATGTAATTTCCTAATAAAATAATAAGCTAAATATCTCAGTATTATTGACGTATCATCTCTTTTTATCTCTTTAATTAAATAATGTTATACAAAATAAAATAAAAATACCTTCTGTATCTTGGCTGCTCATTTCTAAAAAATAATCTTAATGTTTATTCTTGGGTCAAAAACATATTAACTTCAAATATATTAACATGGTAATTATAAAATAAGTTAAATTTTTTAAATGATGATTACAATAATTAAACTTGTAGATACAACTTACTTGTCGTCCCTCGCTTTGCAATTGTTATAATCGATATGAATACCACATGGCCGAGTTTTTTTGGTTTTAGAGTACAGTTGGCGCACATATCATAATACAAAAATCAGATGGTTTTGAATCTATTAATTAAGCTGTTTTTATTAACGGATTTGGTGGATTTAATTAGATAACCGCAAGGTAGTTTTACAGTGGTTTAAGAGTTGGCGTACGTTTCATAATACAAAAATCATTTAATATTTGTTTATATCTTAGTATTAGAGCATTTCTATTAGCGGATTAGGCGAAATTTTGTGGATTTTCTGTTTGTCATCTTCTGGAGTAACTAAATTTTTTTTTTTTGGTTTCAGAATACAATTTTTTTTTTTCATACCTTTCCGTACTTTTTAGGACTCTTGACCAGTTAGTTTTAATAAAAATTTCAGTTTACATGTAAAACCTTTTTTATATATATATAAGAAAGAAAGTTATCTCTTTAATGTGTGTTGAACTCGCAGACTTAACCAATTACCTAAAACATAAGTATCTTTATCATGATATATGCGCAACAAATTTCCAACAGCGTTTTTATGTTTTTAGAAATTTTAAAAAACGTTTTAAAAATTCTCTCCGTTTGGTTTGTTATAGTATATTATATCTTTATTTTTATGTAATGCGTATAACATCTATATGCATTTAAACTTGTTTTTCTTTGTTTTCTAGAAAACTGGAAAAGATTTTTAAAAAAAATTGTGTAAGCAAAAGGTTTTGAACCCAAGCTAAGCACTTCTATCGCTTTGGAATGCTATATCATCTTTTTACACTATTTAATAAACAGAAAACTTATTAAACTTTAAAAAACAACATTTAATGCCTTAAAATAAAGAGATATTGTCACAATGAATTTTTTAAGTAAAAATAAATCGGTAGAATTTGATGTCATCTACTTTATAATAATACTGATTCATAATTAAAGAACTTAAAGTTTACATATTTAGATATTTGAATAGACTTTCGATAAAATACAAATCATTACGGATTGTGGTTCTGAAAAAAAAAGGTTAATACACTACTATCTATTATTATTGGAAAGGTCATTTTTAATATCAAAGATATCAAAGTTTGGCAAAAAAGTGAAAACAATGTCTACCTGAATTATATGTTATTTTCCTATTTATTAGGTTTACAAATAAAACTTCCCTGATTAATTTATAATTTATTCAAAACCCTGATTTGCTTTTAATTTATTTGCCTAATAATCACCCTTAACAACAATAACCACCATAAATATCTTCTTAGCATTCTACTTAACGACTTATCTAATTAGTCTATTTTGTCACTAAGTTTTTTCGAAAAAAAAAAATACACATCTATTAACTGTATATCAATTTATTTATCTATTTAATTTAATATATATAATATATAGTTTAATATATATAATTTAATCTAATTAATATAATTGAAATACTACTAATCAATTTACTGATATTTTTTCTATAGCATTGTTAAAAATGGTCATATTCTGAAAGGTAAAGAAATTTATTGAAAAGAAAGTTGCACAAAAGAAAAAAAAAACTAAATAAAAGTTATTCGTTTCAAAAAACGTTTTACGAAGAGTTTTTCCAAAAACGTTTTACGAAGAATTTTTCATTAGCATATTAAGGCGTTTTGAAAAACAGTTGCTGCATATATTTATAGTAAAAAAGTTAATGTAGCAAAATAAACTTTTAATTGTCAAAAGAAAGTTTTAAAGTTTTATCTAGCTACAGGCTTTTTTTTTTTGCCTCCACAGCAGTATCTTCTGAAGTAGCAGGGCTGTCTTGTTAAGTTTTTTCTTTACTAAGTTTCAGACAACTTTTTTTTCAGAACATCCGCAGCTTATTAGGACTAATTACATGAGCACATTAATAACATAAGTGTCTCAATTATCATAGATACGCAACATATTTTTTCTCCTGGTGATGTTTTTTTTTTTTTAATGTTTTATGAAGTTTTAGCTTTCTTAAAATCTCTTATTTTGTGAGTGCATAACATCGTTACGTTACATATGCTTGTATATAATCTTTATAAAACTTCCAATTTTTTTTTGTGTTTTAAAATAATTTAAAAAATTTAAAAAAATAGCCGCCATTGGTAGGAGTCGAACCTCTAGTTCCTTGTTCAGAAGTTTGTTGCCTTATCCACTCGAGCTACACCGGCATATCATCAAGAGTAGATTTTATAATAATGTAATAATTTTTGTGAGTAAAAAATTGTTAGATCAAAATTAAGAGGTTGACGCAATGTAATTTTCAAGTAAAAATCAAACTGTAAAACATGGTAAATGTTTCAGTATGTTTTAACATATGCTCTAACATTACTTAGTTTAAAGTTTACGTACGTTAGATATTCGTTCACGTATTTTTATAGTGCTGCTACTCTTTCTTGCCAATACCTCGGTTGCGATGGCTGCCAAGGGTTTCGTGTCAAATACGCTCCAAGGGACACTACAACTATTAAGTTTGGCAATATTATATAGAAGATTACCATTTATAATATATAATAATTTATGAAGTTAAAAATACATAATTTATAAATGCTATAAAGTATAATGTATAAATAATCATGTTTAGGTGCAGTCAAGTTTTACTTTACTTAGTATGAAAAATGTTGTTGTTGAAGTTCAAGGCTTTTATAAAAGGTTTTAATAAATTGTAAATACTTTTTGTAATTTGTTGCTTTCTTTTATCTCAAAATAAAAAAAGTATAAATTTATGTCAATAGCAATCTAGATACTGTGGCATTGATTGATGTATATTTCTCAAACATTCCAGTTAGTAATCAATTAAAAAACTGCCAACTTATGAAGAACATGAGTTTTGGATTGGTTCCACTTAAGATTATAAATGCTGTTTTAAGACCTTGTGGTGAGAGCTTATTCTTTTTTATTAAAATTTTTCAAAACGTCTAAAACCTTTTATTGAAAAAAAAATTATGCACTTAAAATTATTTATTTGTAGTTTTGCAAACTACCAGTTTTATTAGCAAATTTTTAAACATGCTTTTGATTTTATTGATTAAATGCTGACTTTCAAATATTTAGAAAACCTTTACATGTTTATTTATTTATTTGTCTAAATATAAAATTAAACATAAAATTCGTTAATTGAAAAACTTTATATTAATTTTATGCAAAAAGGAATTTATCAGATTCCTTTAAACAGACTTGATTTAGAAATTAATAGTATGTCTATGCTACTGACTACATGAACTATATTCAGACCATCTTACAAAACCAATAACAAGCATATAATTAATACCATTTTTGACAAAATAATGGTCAACTGCAGACTTAAAATCTTTAATTGTTTTTAGTCTTTGTTGTATTCTGAGGTAGGTTATTCCACATTTTAATAACTCTATGTGTAAAGAAATTTTGTTGCTGTGGAAAACTGAGCGCTAAAGTACACATTAATCTTTCTTTATTGCCCCGGGTGTACTTTGATTTTAAGTGAACTTGTACTTTGATTTTAAGTGAACAAGCTGATAGTGGTTCATTTTGCCAAGTGATGAGATCAAAACCACAGATAAAATTAAAATATTAAATAAAATCAGTTCTTGTTCTTCTTAATTCAAGTGTTGTTAAACATAGTCTCTTGAGTCTTACTTTGTATGGTAAGTGTGCTATTTCAGATATAACTCTTGTTGCTCTTTTTTGAATGCGCTCAAGAGTTCTTATATCCTTTTTTAATTAGGGTGACCAAGCTTGTGTAGCAAACTCAATGTGTGGGGTGTAGTATAAAAAGATTTTCAGAGAGATAGCCCTCTACTTTTAAATGTTTTTGTTAGTGCACCAAGTAATTAACTCGCTTTAGCAGCAGCTGCTTCGACTTTTTTTGACTTTTGACTTCGATTTTTTTGTTTAAGGTCATCAGAAATCAAAATTCCAAGCTCTCTCTCAAAAGAGGTAAATTCAATTTCTTGTTGTTGTCTGCGGTCACTGTATCCTGATATAAAATATTTTGCATTAATCTTTGTTCTACTACAGTAAATTGAAATTGCATTTTTTTAAATTTAATTTTAGAGGCCATTTCTTAGACCATAGGACTGTATTATCAATATCTTTTTGTAGTAGATTAGCATCTTCTGGCATCTTAATATCTCCGATTATCTTACTATTGTCAGCGTAGAGTTTTGTAGAATGGTGTAAGGTAAATATGTGTAAGGTAAATATGTGGCTAGGTAAATCAGTGACATAAAGAACAAATAAAAGAGGGCCTAGTACAGAACCCTGAGGTACACCGCTAGCAATGTCTTTCCATTTAGATATAAAATTACACAATACTACTCTTTGATATCTGTTTCTGAGCCTCGCTTCGATCCATGTAATCAATCAATTTACATATTATGTCATATGCTCTTATTTTATGAATAAGTTGGTGATGGGGCACTTTATCAAATGTAGTCTCCAAGTCAGTGTACACTATGTCAACTCGATAATTGTTTTGTATGGCTTTTGTAACAATGTCCAAAGTTTCAAGTAAATTTGGTAACACATCCTTTTTTTAAGATAAAACCGTGTTGAGATATCGAGATAACATTGTTTTCCCTACATTATTTGATAATTTCTTCATGTATAAGATTTTCTTTAATTTTACTTATAATAAATGTTAACGACACTCCTCTGTAGTTTGAAGCTTTTAATTTACTGCCTATTTCAAAAATTGGATAAATATTTGCTATTCTCCACATATCAGGAATTTCACCACTTTTCAGTGAAAGACGATAGATAATTGTTAATGGAATGGCAAAACTTTTTGCACATTTTTTGAGCACTCTAGGATGAATGTTATCGTATCCCATTATGTGAAAGTTGTCATATCCCAATGTTGTCGTATCCCATGTGTTAGATTCAAAAATTCTTATTTCCTTTACAATTAGCTTTTTTTTTTTTTTTTAAATAAATTTGAAAGTTGAAGCGTACTTTTTAACTCTCTAAAGCCTAAATTTTAAAAAATATGTATAAAAACAAAAACTGTGCTTAACAGTAACAAATTTCAAAATTAAAAAAGGTATTATTTCTATAGTTTTGTATTTATTTTAACAATTAAGAAAAAGTTGTAAAAATAGTTAAAGAAATATGTTTTTATAAACTTTTAATTTTACAATTTTTTGTTTTTATAGTATTAACTTTTAATATTTTGAATTTTTTGTTTTTTACAAAAAAAATTTTTTTATAATTTAATCTTTTTGTGTTTTTTAATTTAAATTACTACAAAATAAAGTTTTAAAAATAAATAAAAAATTGTAGATAAGACATTTTTTTTTTTTTAATGTTGATGCTTTCCTTATTTGATGTTCAATAATTTCTTCTTGCTGGCAATAATCATTAAGCTATCAAATAGCTTTTTAATAAGAGTATTCTAAAACAAGATATAATTAAATATTTTTTTTATTAAGAATTTACATTTAATAAAGCAAATCAATTTTTGACTAGATTGTTGTGTTGAAGACACAGTTGGTACACTGAATTTTACTGGGATTTACACCTTTCCAATCACATTAGTAAAAATGAACTCTATACAAACAGTATCAATTTCATGTTTATACAATACAAGTATAATCTTTAATCGTCAGTGCATTCGGGGTGGTCTGGCTACCAGCCCATATTGGAGTACGGCTAATCTAGCAAATTGTCCTCCTAAGTTCAAAACTTCTAATGACCTTATAAAATTACAATTAGTAAATTATTAGTTTATATTTTAATAATATTGAGTATTTTATTATTTTGTTCTTCTCAATTTTAATAATTTTGTCTTTAATAGTTTGTGTTATTATATAGGAAACTATCACAGCCTCAAATGTTGAACAAATCACAAATAACTTAAAAACTATATTAGAGAATGGAACCATTACAAATGAGTATGACATTAATATTGTGTACAATATAGTTAAAAAAGTTGTCAATTCAAACTTGCTATCTGAAATGGTATTTCATTTCATTTTTTTGTTAACTTGTTACTTATTTTAGTTTTGTTTTTTTGCATCAAAATGTTTTTAGTTTTAAAAAAAGTTTTTTTTTTTTTTCAGGTTACGAATAATGTATTATCATCAGTTGATATACTTCTAAATACAAGCCCTGATTTGATTGACGTTACAGATAAATATTTCAACTTCTCAACACAGATTTTATATACATTGGAAACACTTGGTGCACTGCAAACAAAAAACATCACAATTTCAAAGACAAGCTTGGCTTTTACATCTTTTATCCCTCAAAATCCTGAATCATTGTTCATTTATGCAAATTTCAATGGAGATAACTTGAATTTATCTATTAAAAAAGAAGATCAAAGGAGTATTTCTGAAAATCTCCAAGCTTATATTTTTTTACCAGCTCAAATATTCAAGGGTAATAGCGGAAATGTCTATTCATATGCTTTCAAAAAAAAGACTTTCTTCAAAGAAAGTGAAACTACCAATTATTTTGTAGACAGCTTAATTCTCTCTGCAACAGCCAATGGATTAAAGGTAGAAAATGCAACTACTCTGATTGGTGTAGGCTTTAATAGTATTGTTAGTGTTAGCAAAAGGTGTGGTTTCTGGAAACCAGAAAGTGAGTTACTTAGTAATTTTAAAAACCCATTACTTTAGTCTTTAATCTTTCAAACATAAAATTATATACAAAATAATAAATACAAATAAAAATTAGAATAGATTGATTATGAAGCATATTATTGCAAACCTCAACAAATGTTAATTCTGTTATTTTTTTATACATATCACAGATTAGTATATAAATATATGCACTAATCAATTAAATAAAAAATCTTTTTCATATGGGGCAGTACTTCCATAATTTATTTTTTTTGTCAATAAATTTGTTTATAATGGTTTGTTTGAGAGTTAAAGCGTTGTTAAAAAAATGAAAATATCAAAATAAAAATAAAAAAAGTAAAGTTTTAGATGAAGATTTTGTACAACTAATTTATTTCCTTTTTGGTGACAGCCATTGGAATGTAGTAAAAGCTAGCCTTTTTTAGGTTAAAAAATAATATATATATATATATATTTTTTGCTTTTCATTTTAGTATTTGTTAAAAATTACAAAAAAGAAATTACAATAATCCTGAAAATCCTGACCAGAGCAAGAAGTCTTATCACCAAGCCCTGTTACATTGATATTTTCAAACATTAAAAAAAATTACATAACTAATAAGTAAAATTGTAATAATTTTGAATAATTTATTTAATTCAAAACCTTTTAAATTGTTGTTAAAAAAAATATTTGAAATCTTGTTACTGTGAACAGTATATTGATAAGTCCATGTTTAGTAAATAAAGTTTTTAATCAGCCTTAAAACTTTCCAAAGTGTAGTTTAGAAGAAAGTCTTTTTTTTCATTAAAATATGAAGAAAATTTTTTCAAACAAAATGTTTTGTTTTAGTTTTGTTTGCTAATTTGGGCAAAAAGCATTTTTTAACATAAAATTGCTTTTTTATTGTTCCAAACAATTTAGGACTAAGAAGTATGACTATTAAATATAATTATTAAAATTATTTTAAAATATTTTAAAATATAACTAATTTCTTAAATTAGTATAAACAGACTTAAATTTATTTAAGACCAAATCACCTTTTAGTTTTTTCTTAGTTAGTCATGTTTAATAGCATGAGAGCACAACCGGCAATCTTTTCACAAAGTTATAATCAAACTTATTATTTAAAAATTTTTGTTTAAAAGTTTAGTTTTAATTAAGTGCAAGATGAATAAATAGTAATGTGGTCATGGACAGCTTAGGAGATGTTAGAGTAGATCAGATGATTTCGATACTTTAATTAGTTTCTTTCAATCAAGAAACAAATCTGTTAATGTGTTCTTATTTAATAGAGTTGTTAACTTATGCTTTTTCATACTTTATTGTTTTATAGTTAGCAAATGGTCATCTGATGGCTGCCACACTGTTGCAAGCAATTTAAAAGACTTTGTGCAATGTGAATGTAACCATCTTACTAACTTTGCATTGATTTTGGATATTGAGCAATCAGGATATAACCCTTTAGAACTTCAAATTGTCACTTGGATAGGTTGTGTCATTTCCATAATTTGTTTGTTTATTACAATGATTTTCCATATAGCAAATAGGTATTACTTTTTTTGTAGTTTAGTAGTATTTTGTAGTTAACTTATTAAAATTTTATTTAATTAAAATTTAGTGTTTAAGTACTGGTTAAGTTAGAGTTAAGTAAGTGTTGTTTAAGTTAGATTTAAGTAAGCGTTGTTTAAGTGTTCTGTAAGTTTGTGTTAACTGTTGAGCTTTGTGTTAACTGTTGTGCTTTGTGTTTGTAGTGTTCTAAATGTCAAAGTTTTATATGTCAATTAATGTCTTTATTTGTATGAATCTGTATTTTCATAAATACTTTGATTTTCCGTTTTATTTAATTTTGATATTATTTTGTTCTTTGTTATCGTAATCTTTCCTATATATTTATTTTGTCTCATCTGTTATTCAGGTTCTATTTTCTTTCCTTTTTCCGTATTTAGCCTATTTTTTTTATCTTCGTCTTAGAACTTAGGATGGGTTTTAAATTCTAAAGATTGAGTTGCGGGGTGTTAGAAGTATTTTATAAAATATGTTTAAAAGATATATGAGAGTGTGTGGTTTGTTGCTTTTGTAAGAGCTATTTGCGAAGTGCAGTACAATTATAGCAACATATATATATATTGTAAAGAGAATATATATATATAAATATATATAAATATATATATATATATATATATATATACATATATATATATATATATATATATATATATATATATATATATATACATATATATTTGTATAATTGTATATATGTACATATATTTATATATATATATATATATATATATATATATATATACATATATATATATATATATATATATATATATATATATATATATATATATATATATATATATACATATATATACATATATATATATATATATATATATATATGTATATATATATATATATATGTATATATATATATATATATATATATATATATATATATATATATATATATATATATATATATATATATATATATATATATATATATATATATATATATATATATATATATATGTATATATATATATATATATATATATATATATATATATATATATATACATATATATGTATATATATATATATATATATATATATATATATATATATATATATATATATATATATGATATATATATATATATATATATATATATATATATATATATATATATATATACATATATATATATATATACATATATATATATACATATATATATATATATATATATAGTCTTGCATGGTAATCTTAGAGTTTTTCTTATAAACTGTTGTTTTAAAGAGCGTGTTAATAAGCATGACCAAAACATGTTAAAAAAATTAAAAAAAATTTTTTTTTTATCTTAAAATGATAGACTGCCTGCCCCAACCAAACCCTCAGTTGATGTAGCAGCACTCCCTTGCGAGTCAGGCTATTTGTCAGTCAATGTAGCAGCACTCCCTTGCAAGTCAGGCTATTTGTCAGTCGATGTAGCAGCACTCCCTTGCAAGTCAGGCTATTTGTCAGTCGATGTAGTAGGACTCCCTTGTTGCAGCAGGCTATTTGTCAGTCGATGTAGCAACACTTACGCATAACAAAAACACCGCTAATTAAAAAAAACTTTCTAGTCATTATTATTGCGGTTATTTTAAAAAACAATACAAATTTAATATACTTCCGCATTAATTTAATTGCTTTGACATTTCGATGAAAATTAAATACAGCTTAAGAGACGAGGTAATAAAAATTGTAGTTGAAAGAGACTTTTTTTAACTTAAAAGTCTCTTTCGACTACACTATAAGAATATATATATATATATATATATATATATATATATATATATATATATATATATATATATATATATATATATATATATATATATATACATATATATATACATATATACAATATATATATATGTATATATATTCATTTATACCAAAACAAAAAAAGAAGAAATTCAAGTTATTATTTTTTTAAATGTCGTGGCAGTTTAAAAATTAGAAAAAAAAGTATATGCATGAAAAAATCTTTCATGGAACTACAAACAGTTCTCAAATGCTACTAGAGTTGCTATATCTACTGTTGGTTGTAAAACTTTATAAGAAGATATTATTCATCTTTTGAGCTAAAGGATCAAGAAGAAATAACTTTTTTAACAATAAATCAGTGGTAAATAAGGTTTGTTGTTCTTTTGAGTAAAATCAAGGCTTCTCTAACATAGTAAAGTTTAAAATAGTACAAAGTTTTTGATTTTTTTTTGTAAGAAAACTGAAAAAATATTACAATTAAAATTCTTTCCAAGCAATTAAATTCCCTAATTGTTCTGACAAACAAAGTTCCACTGGCAAAACCCAAGCACGAATACTTTACACCCAATTTTGACAAAATTGAATTGCTGCTTTTTGATGGTGACAAGACTTATATAAAATGTGACTTTAATTAACTTCCTGGTGACAAACATACTTAAATTGTTTGTTTAAGCAACATTAAAACAACAAACAGTGTAAGCAACAAATGTAAATACAAATTTGAGGTTAAATATGGCAAAAATTCTTATAGCAAGTAATCTTTAGTTGAGGAAAAGTAAGGTTTTTTTGACGTCATCAACTTGGACATTAAAATTTATATTCAAAAGTGCCTTCAAAAGCGGTTTTTGCCACTCTTTCGATTGCACCCTACACCTTACTTGCATTGGGTTGACTTAGCTTCGTACCACTATACTAAAAAAATAGCATAAGTTGTATAAATTGAGAAAAGTTTATTTTGTAATCCACCAAAATGCCCACAATTCCAGCCCATCAAAAAGTATTAGGGTATTAGCAAAGAAAATTTGCGTAAAACAGGCAAGCCAATTTTTCTTCTAAAGAATTGCTGAAAGAAAAGCATAAGCAAGAAAATTACAGTAACAGTTGTGCAGAAAATAATGGGTACCATAACCAGTAATGTACGATTATTTTTTAGAAATAAAGAAAAATTTAGAAACTAAAAGTTTTTTAATTCTCTTTAATTTCTCAACTCTAAGTTAAAATTAATGTACTTAAATAATGTAATAAAAATACTTGTAAAAAAACAGTTATTTTAAATGTTTCAGAAAAGATTTTCCCATTTTTTTTGAACTTTTGTTTTATTTAATTCAATTTTGTGTATGTATACCCCCTGGATGTTATACATATTTAAGTCAGTCAAGAAAAATAAAAAAACAAATTAATTAAATAAAATTAAATAACAAAAATAATAAAAGCAATAGTCTATAAAGTTGCATTTTCGTAGTTTTTTGAAAAATGATAAAATATAATTAGTTTCCTTTTTTATTTACCTTTTTTTGTTTTTACTTTAAGTGCTTCTAATTTTGTAAACATTTAGCTTTTTTATTAATACTTTTAATTTTTTTTTAATAGGAAACTTAGATCACAGCTTGCACCAAAAATATTAGTGGCACTTTCTACTAATTTAATGCTCACACTAATCCTCTTCTTAGCTTTTGTTGAAAAAACAAAGCCTCCTGCAATATGTAAAGTGGTTGCTTCACTTATCCAGTTTTTTCTTTTATCAACATTTTGCTGGATGTCTGTTGAAGCATTTAACCTTTATCAAATGTTTGTCAAAGTTTTTAGAGGTTCTTTAAGTTCATATAAGTTTTTGTTGAAATCAGCAGCATTTGCTTGGGGTATGTTTTTTTTTATGATATACGAAATTGTTCTGAACAATTAATTTAAGTTATTTTATGAGCTAATAAAATTTTTTCAAAAAAAATTGTATTTACTTTTTATTACTTTTTCATTTTTTTTTATTACTTCTTCATTTTTTTTTTAACAAATTGAGTTGAAATTAAAGATTTTAAAGTTTAAATTATGTTAGAAGGAATCTTAAAAATTAGATATTTTTAAAACTTTAATTTCATTTTTAAATTTGACTTTTTGTAATCAATTTGTTGTGTGGTTAAAAATTTAAACATGTATCTAAACTGGAAATAGTGTTGCTTTACTATATAATATAAATGCAAATAAGATTGTTTCTATTGGGTTTTGTTTCTAAATTTGTCACTTGTAAATAATTCATTTTTGATAATTTGCAGAGCAAACATAAACTGCATAAAAAAAGATTATGGGACATTAAAAACACACAATTAATTAAAAACAAAGTATTAATAACACTGTTAAATTTAAAAAAATATAAGTGTTGAATTAAGAGAACCATTTAGATTTTAAAATAAACAGCCAAGAATTTGCTTCATTTATACCATTTTTATTTAGGTGCTCTCTGTCAGTTTCCAATAATAAGTATTCTTTTTGTGTAAGTCTATATTACAAGAACGCAAAACTGCTTGTATAAATTTTGGTGAAGGATTTTCCATCAAAATGTAATTGTTTTCACTTCTTAAAATGTTTACTCAGGGGAAAATAATTAATGCTGTAATGATTGTATCAATAAAAAGCTACTCATTATGCGTTTGTATAAAATTTTGGAGAATATGAAGTAAATGATAAAAATGCTTAGCATTTCAAGAGATCTCAAAAGTAATATCTACCTGTGACAGTTGTGGCCCAAAGTCGAAGTTGTCTGAGTAATACCATTCGAATTGTTAGAAAAGTTCACAAGACTGCGAATCTTAAAATCATTGAATGAACACCTACAGAGTCTTGTTTTTGTTCTGTAGTATAAAGATTTGGTTTTTTTATGGAAAATCTAACCTAATTGGAGATTCTCATTAAGAAAATTTCTTAAGATTTGCTGGAAATGATTTGGCGTTATGACCCAATTCTCAAGGAACATGTGATGAATGTTAAACAACCACTTATGGAAGAATGCAAGTCTGCAAATTATTTTTCAATTATGGTTAATACCATTCCTGATATGAGCCATACTGAACAAACTATGTTTGTCATTTAATATGTAGTTGAAGAGAAACCTTGGACCTCAAAGAGCGGTTTTTGATCTTTGCAGATTGTACCAAGAAGGCTAGATCTGATATTGCAGGAATTATTCTAGAGACCTTAGAAACATTGAAACTTTTGTTTTGAAGACTGCCATGGTTAAGGTTATAACAATTGAGTGTCAGGGCTATGCAAGGGTGTTCAAATGGTCCTACAAAAGAATAACCCATTGTCTATTTTCTCATCCTGTGGTTGTTTTTCATCGAATTTATATAGAGATAATGCTGCCTCAAGCTATACATATCCTGAGACTCACTTTAGAACTGTTCAAAACGAGTATACAATCTTCTCTGCTAGTCCACAATGCTGGGAAATATTGCAAAAGAAACTCCATGGTGTATCTTTGCATTGGCAATCTGGAACATAATTAACTGAGAGATTTAAGTGCATTCGCCTTTCCTTAAATCACTTAAACCAAAACATTGAAACTTTAGAAGGAGTTCTGAGTTTGAACCTCATGCCTATAACAAAAAACTGAGATAGGAGGTGCCTTGAAATATATGAGCTCCTTTAAATGTGTTTTCATGTGTTGAGTTTGTATGAAAGTCTTCTCATTGATTGATTGCTGCAACCAGGTCATTTGGGCAAGGAAGGCAACTATTGATATTAAGGTAAAAAATATTAAGGTATTGATCAATCACCTCAAATCTTTTTGGAAGAAGTGGCAAGCAATATCAGAAGTCAAATTAGCTACTGATACTGCAAAAATTAGTTCTGAATTTTTAATCCACCAAAAAGTGAATCACAAATATTTTGCTGGAGAACAATATGGAAATGGTGAACATATCATTAAATCAACCAAAGCAGAATCAATAGAGAAGACAACACGGAGAACGTTTTTTTTTTACCGCATTCTGGATTCTGTAATTGATTAACTCGTTGCTCGTTTCACAGCGAGTCAAGAAATCTTTGCTATATTCTCTTTTTTGTGGGAATATCGAAAACAATCTAAAAATTTTTCAAAGAAAAATACATATGACGTGACCGAAAATAAACTGACTAAAGAATTGCTTCATATGAAACAAGTTCATACTGCAAATCTTAGAAAGAAACCTCTTGTCACATTTGACTTATTAAGCAAAATGTCTGAAATAAAGCCTAGAAAACTCCTTAGAAATGTGGCGACTGCACTATGTGTTTTTGCTTTTATTCCAGTGACAGTTGCCTCAAGTCAGCGTTCATTCAATAAGTTAAAGTTCATCTAGAATTTTTTGCGCCTAACTATGGGACAAGAACGATGAAGTGATTTTGCCATTTTGACTATCAAGTCTCTTCAAGATAGATAACTTAATTATATTTATATACCAGTAATATAATCAAAAAATTTGAGCAGGTTTTTTATATTTGTTTTATTTTTTTATTATAGAAAATAGGAAGGGGGTTAGGCCCCATATTAAAAATGTTCAAGGCTCCCATTATATCGATGTAATACAAAAAATAGTTTAAAAGTCAATGCAATGCTCAAGGTTTGCTGTGGTATCTTATTTTGCCCCAGAATAACATGATAGTAGAATAAATTTTTTAAATAAAGCAATAATAGAAATTTAAAATTTTCAGTTTTCAACTTAATCTTTATTTACATTTTTTAGGTGTACCACTTATTGTAACAGTTACAACAGGTGTCGTAAAACCTGATGCTTTAGGTCCAGCAACCAAAAATAAGCCTCAAATGTAAGTTGTTCTTAAATCGATTTGAAATAGATACTTTTATATACATGTGTAATTAGTTTTTTTGATTTTTATAATTTCTTTTTTTTGTGTGTGTGTTTTGTGTTTTGTTTTTTATTTTAATCTTTATTTCAAAAAAATTGATATACTATGCAGATATTTGTATTATAAAATGGGTGTTAAATTTTTATTAGATGCGTTGTCCAAGGCGTTCCATTTTATTTTGCTGTTCTGTTACCGGTATGTATTGCTCTTTTGAGCAATATTATAATCCTTGTGTTGGTTCAAAAAGGAATTGCGCTTTCTTCAAAATTGACTGAAGGTCATTCATCGAAAAAAAATCCTGGTTTTACTAATGTTAGAATAGCTTTTGGGTTTTCTATTTTGATTGGTGTAACTTGGCTGTTTGCAATTTTAGCTGTTGGAAGTTTTCGGAATATATTTCAATGGTTGTTTTGTATTTTTAACTCTTTGCAAGGATTTTTTATCTTTGTATTCTATACTCTGCGAAATAGCGAGTTAAAGATATGCTGTAAGAAATGCTGGACGTTTAATATCAAAAGTTATTTGACTTCATCTTCAACTCAAAGCATTCCAAATCAAAGCATGACAATATTTGATCGTAAGTTTTTAAAATAATTAGTATTTTGCGTCACTTTTTTGTCACTGAGTGTTTTTCCATAATTATTTTAGGAGTATATTTTATCTCCAAAAGTATGTCAATATATAAATTTATTTATATTTTTTCAATTTATGTCTAGAGAGTTCTTCTAATTTGGACAACACAATACATTCTTTGTAAACTGTGCGACAAAATTAAACTGGTTTTCTCTGTTCACAAAGTTTATGTTTTTTTTAATGTTCATATGGTGTCTTTAAAAATTATTTTATTGAATTAGCAGTTTTTTTCATACAACGATTATATAAATTTTTTTGAAATTATTGACGCAGATATATATATATATATATATATATATATATATATATATATATATATATATATATATATATATATATATATATATATATATATATATATATATATATATATATATATATATATATATATATATATATATATATATATATATATATATATATATATATATATATATATATATATATATATATATATATATATATATATATATATATATATATGTTGGGTTATATATATATAACCCACATAATTAAATATGTTATAATTAATATGTAACCCACACTCCTTGTTTTCAAACAAAGTTTTTTTAATTTCTTTTAAAGTTTTGTTTACAATATCTAACAAACTCTAATATTTTTTTATTTTTGTCAAAAGAATAATAACCACAATTTTCAAGATGTTAAGAGATGGGGTCATTCAAAACGGACAAGGGTGCTTTGATGTTGCAGTTTGTTTTTTAACCATTTGAAGCAAAACCTTTAGATTAAATCTTTTGATAGAATAACTTTAAAGTATCTTTGTCCTCCATTTACACCTAATTTAACATCAACGTTTTTTCCCAGCCAAAAAAGTTCTATAGAACTTTATATAAACTTTCGAAACGTATCGCCTATAGAAATTCTATAGAATTTAATAGAATCTCTATAGAGTTTCTGTAAACTTCTATAAAAATTCCTATTGAATTTTTTTTTCAATTTTTTTTTTATTGAAAAAAAAAAGTTTTATAGTAATTTGTATAGAAATTAATAGACATTCTATAGAATTTCTATAGAGTTTATATTGGTCATATGTTTCAAGTTTATAGAAATTTTTATTGAACTTTTTTACCTGGGTTGTGTCCTAATGTCTGTAATGAAGCACTATTACTTATTATTATCTTTTTCTACCAACTATTCATGCATGAAAAATCAGAAAGAATGTACAGATTGTATTCTAGTTATGTAAAAAAATTGTAGATAATAATTTACGTACTTTTTTGTATAAACATTTCTAGTTATCTAAAAAAATAGAAGATAATAAATTACTTACCTTTTTGTTTTCATTAACTCCTAATAACTATTGTAATTTATAACCATTAAATAATTTTCCAATCAGTTTGTTGTTCTCAGTCAGTGCAAACCCAATCTTATTGGGATTACTTTGATTGCTAAGATAAAAAAGAAGCTTACTGCACACATATCTACAAAAATTACACACTTACTGAGTACTATCTGTCTGACTAAAAAAATAAAAATTAAGCAATAAAATCAAAACAAAAATAAATTTTAATAAAAACTTTGTTATTAAGTTAGAATATAATAAAATTGAAACAACAATAACCAACAAACAAACATAAACTATATATTATTGATTATATAAATAAACAATATCAATTCATTGTGAATAATAATAAAAATATCAACTCTTATCATCTCTAATTTGCTAGCAAACCTTGCTTGTAAGACTACGTGGAATATAGAACCGCATAAGCCTCGGAACTACATTAAAATGACGTCAGTCGACTACCACTATTAACTATTAAATCACAGTATTATTAAGATGCTTTTAAAATACTGAAAAGAAATCTTTTATATTTTTCATTAATTTAAAAATTTTTCTTCAATTTTATTGTTGTTAAAGTATACACGGTTAGCACGGATCCTGATTATACCAACTTATCTTACCCAAGAATGCAACTTCTATGGGGTGGTACACATCAAAGTACTCTGTGATGAAAATTATAAAATCTTTTAATTTTGTCCCCGGAAAATAATTTAACATATAAAATATTTTTGAATGTTCAAATTAAGTGAAATTTCAACTTTATAGTGCGACAATAAAAACACCAAATGAGAACCATTACTTTTAATTTTATAAAAATTGGTGCAAATGTAGCATATGGCCACACTAAACTCTAGATAAAATTTCAGTTGGATTTGTTAACTAGATCTGCGTAAGGAGGAAAAATTTCGTCAACCGTGTTACCGCATGTTCTCGCAAAATATTTACGACCTCTTGCGGTTTTCTGCAAATTTTTCTTTTAATTTTACGACCACTGCGGTTAATCGCGGCTTAGTTCGAGTTTAGTCGGTTTTAAACGGTTTCATTACTTTTTGTAAAACATACAAGATACATAAGCAAGTATATTATGAATGTTATGAATGTACAAGTTTTTCCTGCTGGAAAAAAAAGAGAAATTGACAAAAATTTTAGTACATTTATTTGCAGCTTAATAGATTTTAGCATAAAAATTACTAATATCTTTATTTTTCATGTTAAAAACTAGAGGCCTACGTAGAGAAAATTTGTTTTTTCATTTTTAATTTTAAAAAGTTCAACGCAATGACACTGCCTCATGAAAAATTTAAAATAGAAATTTTCGTCGAAAATCTAGCTTCATTTTTTAATGGATTGACTTTTGATTCTAATTTGAGGCGGGTTTCACGTTCTTCAGACGTTTCCAGCAGTTTGGCCACTCTTTTCACGGACGTCTCATCTTGAAAACGTTTCTTAGAAATGTTTAAAATTTAACCATTTAAACAGTCAGCAAACTAATTAGAAAGTCACACAATTTGCAGTTACTGCAGATTGTATGACTTCCTAATTAGTTTGCTGACAGTTTAAATGATTAAACTTTTTCGCATTTCTGCAGATTGCAAATTAAAAACAAAATGATCTCTAGAATTTTGCAATAAACCGTGTAAAAACGCAGTAAACCGGCCAATCCAGATGCTTCCGCAAAATGATTTGCAACGCTAATCTCGGTTTTAATAAAAAATTACGCAGTTCGGAAAACCGCAAAAGCCGCATAAATGCGGGATTGGTCGGAGTCATGCGTAAGAAACGCAGAAGACTAAGTTAAGTATTTATGGCAGTTTTAGTTTCTAGTTTGTTAGTTTTTGGCTACTTCGACCTCAAAATGTCAGTGATTACTGTAATATTTGATCACTATTTTCAAAGAATCCTAATGAATAATGTTCTTCTAAAAAGCAAATAAAAGAGCAAAGCCTGGCAAAAAAAACTATCAGTTGGTAAACAAAAAAAAAAAATTTCAATAAAAGGGCTTGTCCCTAAATTACGTCACGTAATTTTAGACTGTTTTCAACCTCCCCTCGTTACAAAATCGTTACACTTAAGAAGTAACTTTTAAAGGAAGAGTCACTAAACTACTAACCCCCTCCCCTATATAGCTTGAAGCAATTTATGGACGACACCAAAAAATTTTTATTGGCTGTTGAAACCTTTTTAAATAAATTGGCTGTCAAAATGAAATGAGAAATAACTATAAAAACCCTGTTTTTACATTATATATATTTTTTTACATTATATTTCCATTAAATAGCATCTCATTAAATTGAAACTGTCATTTCGAAAAGGATTCAAGTTAAAAATTCTTTTAACAGTTAATTTATAAATTTTAAACAAAAATTTCTGAATGATTTATGTTTATTTTTATAGTAAATAAACTTTATTTTATTCCTATGTTTAATTTCTTTAGCAGCTAAGATATTTTTTTAATGAAAATCATTTTTTTGTTGATTTTAAAAAGTTTAGATAAATGGACAGTCCTTTTCAAAATGACAGTTTAATTGTAAGACATGGTATGTGATTTTCTCGACAAGAAAAATGTTTGATGTTGGAATAAGTTTCTGGCAAATATTCTGATACCACAACAAGAATTTATCTCTTAACTATATTGTTTTGGTTAGAAGTTGTTTTTTAGGTAATGAGCTCGTATCAACCCAAAACACAATATCAACAATGCTTAAACAAAACTTGACAAAACCTTTACTACGATCAATTTCTAGCTTAACAAAACATTCGCCGAAAATTTTGCGAGTTAGAATAACAAGATTTACAAGATTTGATAAATCATTAAAGTGCACAACAACCCAAGCTGTACCAAAAACTTCACTTCCATTGGTAATTTATAAATCACTGCAGGTAAAGACATCACTCAAGCGTTGACCTGTTCTGAAGAAATTCTTATAAAAATTTGGATCAACTATCTTGCTGTTTGATGTTTGGTTTACAGTTCTGACAATTTTCTTTAATCTATTGTTTGATAGCCTTGTACTTAATTGTATATTTACAAGAGGCTGAGTGGTCAACTTGCGGCGCGTTTGATAGTGACTGGTCACTACTTTGACTTGAAACCAAAACATGCATGGTTTATCTTTATATCAAACTTTGTTCAGAAAGTTTGTTTAAAACTTTCAAATTATTATCTATATTATTATTAAAATATTATCTGTTTCTAATCTTCTAATATTATCTGTTTTTATCAGTCCCTGCGGTATCCGAAAATCACTGATATTGATCTTTGTCTTGTACAGTTGGCATATTTGATCTGCTTAGAAGCAGTAAGCTGTCTTAAGTATTTTTTCAGACATAGCAAGTACACAAATTTTTGATTTTTATTGTGAAAATCAAAAATGTGAAATATAATTAATTACAATCAATTAAAATGAAGGAAATAATTAATTAAATTGTACGGATATATATTAGTTCGGATATATATTAGTTCGGATATAAATTGTACAGATATATATTAGTACGGATATATATTAGTTAGATATATAATAGTTCTTACTCACGGATATAATTCTATTTATTTAAATTAACGACACTTGTTATACTTATCGACAGTTTAGATAAGATTTTACTTGATGACACATTCCTACAAAAGATTTTTAGTGCTCTTCAACCCGATAAAAAAAAACCGACTAAACCTATTAAGTACTAAATAAGTTTCCTACTAAAACTTAGTAAGTTCCTGTTGAGTATTTACTGGGAACTTAGTAGGATTAGCAAGTTTTAATAGGAAACTTAGTAGGATTAGCAAGTTTTAGAAGGAAACGTAACAGGAATAATAAGGTTTTACACGGAACTAAGTTGGTTTTAATAATACGGCTTACTTAGTACTTAATAAGATTAGTAGGTTTTTTTTCTCGGTTAAGTATTACTTTCTTGTTTTATTATTTCTATTTTTATTCAATAGTTTTTTTAGTTAATTTCATATTTTTATCCAAGGTTTTAATAAATTATTTGAGTTTTAAAGATTTCATATTTATATTAGCATGGTTATTTGTCAAGAAATATGTGTGTTTCGATAAAAATGTAAAAATAATTATTTTTTCAATTTTTACTTAAACATAGATAATTCTTGAAAAAATAACCGTAAAAATCTTATTTAACTAGTCGCCTAAGCAACAAGGATACTTATTTATAACAATAACAAAAATAACAAATAATCAAGTGTTAGATTGTTTAACAAAATCATTTAGAAAAATACAATAAATAGTGAAGGTCAGTTCTTTTGGTAATTTTGCTGGTGCCAGTGTAATAATTGCACCCATAAGAATTGTCTTGATATTTTATAACCATAACTGTTTCTGTAACGAAATTTAAAAAATCATTAATCTGAATCAACAGCTTAATAACATATTTTACAATAAAAAGTAATAACTTTAGAATGATGAAAAGATTTCATTATGAATTTTTCAGAGCTATAAAAAAGCATATTAGCATAAGTGTATGAAAATATGAACAAATGTCTACAAAATATAAAGTATTTAAATATTTGTGCTGATTCGTATATATATGCCGAGTAAATATAAATGATGAGTTTATATAAATCATATATAATTGGGTTTTAAACATTACACAATTACATTATGTGAGTTGTTTTTTAAAAAAGTTATATGTAGGTGAAAAATATCCACCTATATTGTATCCACCTGTTATCCATAATTTTTTGTTTTCTTTTTCTTAACAAACCTACTTAACTACTAAAAGAAACAGTACCTAAAGTCAAAATAGAAAAAAATAATATCAATTAGATCGTTGTTAACAACTAAATCTTGTCGAATTTATGAATTGAGTCTGATGTTTTGTTCCTTAGTTGATTGTAAACAGAGGACTAAAAAACAACTTAAAGTAAAAAGGATATTCTAAAGTAGATATAATATAATACAAAAAAACAGAATATAACTTCAAGCTTTTAAAATTTAAAAAATGAAAAATAAAGCCTAATCATGTTCAAAGTTATTTTGAATAACAACACCATAAAACATTTTCTTAGTTTTTTTTACAAGAGCATAGTGAGTAAACTTGTTTGAATCAAAAACAGCTAACCTGCATTTTTTCAACAATAAATAAGGAGATATGTTTGACAAAACATATCTGATTTTAATAAGAATATTGAGAGAATCCATATGATGATAACTTATTTACATTTTTATATAATTAACATATACACAAGATTTGCCTTTGGTAATGTGAAAAGAACATAATTTTCACAAACATATTGAATTCTATTAGATATGCATAATACGAAGCTGATTTTAATTTTTTTAACATAATGATAAGCATGAAAAGTTTTATCAGCAACTCTAAAACGATTATAAAACTGATAAAGATTTAGGTCAATATTTAAATCATTTAAATCCATATTCTGCAACTTATCTAATATACTTTGTGCTGCACCTAACACAAACGGATTCAAAGGAAAAGTTGTGAAGTGGTTTTCCATCTGAAATTGAATAAATGTTTCAGCCATTTGTCTTCCACGGCATTTAGCTCCTAAAACAGACCTTTTTAGTTGGCGATTCACAATTTCAAACACCATAGCAGATGTTGATGTAAGAGGTCCGGAATTTTTTACCTGGTCAGAGAGACGCGCTAATCCATGGAAAGTGAATGTGCAAATACCTTCACCATAATAAGAGTCTTTTGAAGAAAATATATAAGAGTCTTTTGAAGTAAATATATTAATTGCTGACAAGCATCAATATTATTTGATGAAACAATTTTATCCGATAATGAATAAATAGTTGTTGAAAGCATTAAATAAAGAGAACAAATTTCAATATTACCAAGTTCGTAAAACACAAATGGTGCGTAATACAATAAAAAATATTTGTGCTCTTACGCTTTCCACTTAATAAATTCATTAGTCAATTTTTTTGGCTTTTGTCGAAAAAAATGTGGCAATATAATGGAGTCTATTATATAAGATGACTTTGAAATATTTACTAATTTTTTGGAAACAATAAAATTTAAAATTGCTTCAGCAATTTCTATATAAATTAAATACATAAAATCAAGAGATGCACAAATAGGAAGAGATATCAAACCTGTTAAAGCTGTCTTTCCCTTAACACTAAAAACAGGATTTGCTTCAGCTGCACGTATACGGTGATGTGCTTCATTTGATTTATTTCTAAAAGTAAGTATTTTTTGAATAAAAAAAATCATCTTGTGATTAACTTTAGCTATAAGTGCCTTTAATTAAATATAAACAGCATCCAAATCTAATAAAAAAACATAAAAACTCCTGTCATACTTGTTAATTTTTTTTATATAAAAGAAAAATTAAACAAATTTTATATGCATGTATAAATATAAATGTATATATATATATATATATATATATATATATATATATATATATATATATATATATATATATATATATATATATATATATATATATATATATATATATATATATATATATATATATATATATATATATATATATATATATATATATATATATATATATATATATATATATGAGACACACACACCAGAAAAAAAATGTAATGGCCATTTTTCTTGAATTAAAAATATAAATTTAGTGCCTTTGCTAAAGTTCTAGCTGCAAAGTTGTCTTTGCTACAAACAATCTTTTTAGTAAGTTCATGGTAATTATTCTCCAGTTTAACTGCGCTGTAGATAAGCTTTAGATTTTGGTGTATTGCACATACACAAACAGCATGGATTTCTTTTTGATCAGCATAAATACACCATTTTGGATTTAACTGAGCAAATTTAGAAAATCCTATATTGTATTGAGGGTGCTCTAGTTTGAATTCAATAAATAATTCCACTAAACTGCAAAGAAGTAATCGCTTCGATAGATGTTTATTTTTAGATATATTTACAAAAACTTTTTATACCTGGCAACTGCCCAGTGGGCATTGGGACGTCCATGAGACGTCCAGTAGACGTCCGTTTTGGACCAGGAGACGTCCTAACTGGACGAACCGGCGACGTCCTAAAGACGTACTATTTTAAATGCTTTTCGTCCGTCCCAAAGGGACGAAATAAAAACGTCCATAGGACGTCATAAAATTTGTCGTATGGACGTATAACCTACGTCTTATGGAAGTCCTAAAATCCAATACCCGCTACAGTATATAATAGTGCTATAAAAGTCCATTATTTTAGATTTTTTTTTCAAATTAAGTTGTTTGCAATCTGCTGTTTATGACCGAATTTCCATTAATAATGCTAGATAATAACTAATTAAAATTCTCTCAGTGCAAAAAAAACAACAAAAACATAATATTATATTAATATTTATTTGCAAAAATAAGTTATCTTAAAACAAAATAACATTAATTATTAGGTTGTTTATTCTCTTTGTTAAAACTGTCAGCTTTATTTCGAATCTTCGCTCTTTTGAGCAAGTCTCCAACATTAAAATCAATTATATCCTTTGTAAATTTTTTTGTAGGATCCAGAAACGCTCCTAAAAATGAGAAAAATGTTGCGTGAAAACATATCAATAACTAATGATAATTAACAAACAATAATGAGTTCAGCTAATTTTATGGAGACCACATAGTATTAATGGCGATCAGCAGCATTGAGGAAACCGAAGATTTTTTTTCCAGTCATTTATTCATTAAATGATTAGCTATTATGAAATATTTAAATTAACGATTTATAATTAGAGCAATAACAATTATTGAAAATACATACCGAGCAAGCAACGATAATGCATTGTCTTTGAAAATGCTTTTTTCCCGGATACTCCATCCTTGCTAAATAGGTTTTGGACGTCACGAGCCATCAAAGCATCTAATGCAAGCCTTACAGATGCTCGCAAATCCTTACCTCCTAGTGTCTTTATAGCTATTTTCTATATAATAAAAGTTATAAATTTTATTTTGATCAGGGAAAACATTCTTTTCGAAATATTCTAATTAACTCACATAAAAAAGTCAAAAAATTTAGATGCCTGCAAAAAATTGTTTAAAAAAACAGTATAAAAAAAGTTTTAATGGGGCAATTATATCTTATGTACAACTCAAGGCTGCGATGTAATAACAACTTACAACTATGAAAGGTATCATCGCCTCCATTAAAAGTTTGTATTATTTTTTATAACTTCTAGTTTAGTTTACAAAGATTACTCCTTTAGACATTTTAATCTGTTTTAAACGAGTTTTCATCCTAATTCCAGCTCATAAATTTTAAACCGTTCGATACTATATACTAGACGGTAGATATAGTAATATATAGCCTTCTTAAAAACCTTTATAAAATGTTTAAAAAAACCAGCAAAAAAAAAAAGATATATATATATTTTTATCTATGCATCCAAATCCTCAACCTAATCACTAAACAACCTTTATAGAATAAAACTTGTAGAATAGAAAATGATAAAGCCATAAACTAATTAAGAAGTTAATTAAAAAAATGTATTTGTTGCATATGATAATAATGCTTTATGAATAATTACCTTTTTATCTCGGTATGTTTTATTTTGAAGTTTTATTTCCTCTATGTCGAACTCTTCAATTGATAGCATAGGTTGCATGTCTTCCACTACAACACTTGCATCACCATTACCACCATCAACTAGAGATGCTAATGAATTTGTAATCTGGATTTGGTTATCCTCTAATTGTTCCATTTTCATTAACATAACATACTGAAACTCTAAAAAACAATTATGCTCATGTTTATAATGAATTTATAACTAAAAAAGAAATTAAATTAAAATAGAAATGTGGACAAAAAATCAATGTGTTGAATGAACATACGTTTATTTGTCATCTCCTTGAATCCGGCTCCACCATCAGCAAAAGTAATTAAGGATGTTTTACGAGATGATCTACTTTTGCTAGCAGAGCATGAAAGAGGAGAGGTTTCTAAAAGCTCTTCTCTGTTAGTTCCACCAGAAGATGGTGATACAATTAAAGCAGGGTGTGTGGTGTGTGGGTGTGCTGCTTTTTTATCTTTGTCTTGCTTTGAATTAGTATACTTAATTTTTTGCATAGATGAACTTAAAAAAGAAGATGTTGATACAAAGACAGGAAGATTCTCTTCTCTGAAGTGTTTTCTATCTAAATTTACATTAGTAGAAGACTCTTTCTTATTGTATGATTTCTTAACTTCTAAAACTGGACTTAAAGTCCGAGTGTGTTTCTTGGGCAATGCTAAACATATATATATATATATATATATATATATATATATATATATATATATATATATATATATATATATATATATATATACAACTCTAAATCTAATTATACAATTATACAAAGCAAATTAATGAATAACTATTGATTTTTTCTGATATTCTTTGAATCTAAAGTAAGAAAAAAAAAGTTGCTTTTAACCTCTGATATAAAATATTTTATATCAGAGGTAAAAAATATGCAATTAATCTAAAGAAAAAAGAAAACATCAAGTACCGTTGCCATCATCAGAAGATGAAACATCCTCAGCTGTAGTTGCAAAATCAACCAACTCCTGTGCTTCCTCGCGAGTGCCTTGGTGAAGCAAAAACTCCACTATTGGGTATGTCACCCAAGTAAGCTCAGGCGATTCATGTTGTTTAAAATAGAAATCTAAAGACTTAGATTCATTTAGTGGACAGAAGATTTGCTGATTTAAAGTATCAACCCATGGGCAGGGCACAATGGTTTTCCACTCTGTGCCATTTTCTTGGACAACACATGCAGCCCAATATCTAAAGAAAAGATAAGCAATATTATTCATTGCAAAGTTAATCAATTTAGACCATAATTACTCATTACTTATAGCGATTATCCAAAATTCTGGAACATATCCTTTAAAAACCCTTTAAATGTACTCCCATTTTGTATGAATATATTGAAAGCAAACAAATATTCATAACAACTAAGGGCGAGGAGCAGGAACCTTAGGAGCCAGAGGTTTATGAAAAAAATTAGAGCCATGAGGGCCGAAATGAGCCAGAGACCATAAAAAATGACCAGCTACTCTGCTCCATTCAGCTGCATGTTTGTGTTGTAGATTTCTAGTCTTTCATCCAAACCATGTCTATGTGATAATTTATAAATAAACTAATAAAACTGGTAATGGTACTTACATTCTATCCTCAAAATGTTTTTTTTTTGTAAAGAAAAAAAAAGAAAAAATGAGGAGCCCAAGAGTAAATACTTGGAAGTTACTTACCTTTACATACTTGAAGCGGAACCATACCTTTTTTCTCCGCCTCATTTAATATTAAAATTGCCTCACCCACCCCTAATAACATTGAATAAAAAAAAAAGATTATAAGGACATTTATTTATTAAAACCACTCCAACTTGTTTATATATCATGCATTAAAGGTATTATAACATAACTATTTCGATATGGTAAGCAAACACATTTTCGAATTATATCAGTTCTTTGAATAAAACATTTTATGGAGCAGGCATTTTCTTTAATATAATATATGTCAAGGTCTCTTGAGTCAACAAAATGGGTAAAAAAATATTTAAGTGCAGATTTTGGATAAAATTCACATTGAAAGCCTCCATCTCGACATATAGCAGTGACTTTAACAATACCATTCTGAACCAAATAACATGAATCTTTTTTACCAACTCGTATCTTGAAAATATTTCCTTCCTTTAAAGTTGGATTATCTTTAAGCTCACTTAGCCTCAAAACCATTTGCATAACTGGATTATGTTTTCCCCGAACTAATCGTTTTATCTCATACAAGTAGTTTTCAAACTGAAAAGCAGATATTTCATCTAAACTACACTGAAAATATTCCACATCATCAGCAATGTGTAACAGTCCATGTACATTATATACACAAAAAGAAGAGCCATAATGCTCTTTGGAATTGTTAACAAAGTAATTAAGTAACTGTCTAGCCGACTCAATGTTACTGCTTCGTTTAATAGCGTTCTTCTCGCATAACATTCGAATAGCAACTGACAAACTCAAAAAATGCTTGTAACTTTGTTTACTTAACACACTTTTCAGTGCAACCAAACCAGTGTAAAGAAGAAAACTACGTAGCTCAGTAGCTTTCCACCAATTCAATTCTGATAATGACCTTGGTTGGCGGACAAAGTCACTTGGCAATCTTCCATTAAATTTCAATAACTGCTCAGAAATTATATTTTGCTGTGCAGAAGACAACTGACCATCAAATATACCACTATATGTACCTTTAAAAAAATATAATATACGCCGTACCACTCCAAGACAAACTAAATGCATATAGTCTAATACAAAATCTTGTATAAAATTAATTGGCAATGGAAGCAGACATGAATAAGAGTGTTGATGTCGCTTCCCACTGTTATCTGGAAAGGAGTAAGAATGGTTAGAAAACATGTCATTATTGCGTAAAGTAACATTTTTTTCTAAATCATTAAACACAGTCCTTTTGTGTTTTTGGATTCCTCTTATAGTGCATCTTTTACAAGAGTAAAACCCAGTATGGTTAACAATGCCTTTTTATAGCGCTCTTGCTGGGGCATCACATACAAAGCAAAATACTGATAAAATATATTGTTTACCCTTGATGTTTAATACTGATCTAGACAAAAGTTCCTTCAACTCTTGAACAAATTCTGAAATAAATTTTGACATTTTTGGTTTACATTTGCCATCAAATAAGCCTACCATAAATGGTTTAAACTTTCCAAACTGAAGTAAGATCGGCTATAGTTGATACGAGCTAGAATTCCATATAGGTAGACCATCTATATTTATATTTAAACATATATTCTGCGATTGATATTCATGTAAACTCAATATTCTTTTGATGTTATTTTCTATACCAAAATATACATATGCCTCATCATCAACAACCACTATATTATGTGTATTCTTTGTACCTAAAACTGTACGAGAATCCTTGGGTAAAGAATGGCCTTTTTGACTAAGAAGCACTAACAAATCATTCATACATTGCCGGGTACACCCATGTTTTAAGGACCAAAGTTTTAATGATTTGCAAAACAGAGAATCAAATTGGGAATCTGGAAAAAGATCATTCTCTTCTTTCGAGTTTTGAGAAATACTTTCTGTAATTGATTCACAAGATCTTATATCAGCATTCTCGTCACTGTTTGCCAAAACAGAATTATTAAATGACTCACTGGAAGAAATGCTGTAAATCTTGCCGCTACTATCATTGTTGCCTGAACTTGAAAAGCTGCAGTTTAATGCAAAACATTGACTATTTGAACTATTATGTCCATTAGAGCTAAAACTTGGAATTTCTCTATCATTTTTAACTTCGTGTTGGCTGAGAGAAACCAATTCAGATAAAGCACGCACAGTACTACGACAACGACGCCATCGAAAATGTCGGTCCCTTTTGACAAAATTTAAAATAAGCATAATTAAATTACATAAAAAATTTGAAAAAAGTCTTGGCTTGTGGGAGATACTAAATTAAATCATTATTAAACAGGTAAAAAATTAAAATTGGTGTGGCTAAAGGGCAAAATCATGTGTCCATTAAAAAATAAAATAAAAAGGAGGAGGAGGAACAATTCAGCCATTAATTTTATTATTTATTATATTAAATTATTTCTTACAAAATATGGATATTTGATATTTTTTTAATATTAATTAATAAGAAGCTTCTCCTAGGACATCAACAGACTGCTGATGCCCTGAAACTTTTAATTCTTTTTTAAACTTCATGCAGTTTAATTCCACAATTTAATTTATAAATTAATTCTTTTTGCAAAATAAGCTCAAAACTAATTTAAACTTACTGAAGCTTAAAATACAAAAACTTTCTATAGGGACTTTTTATAGGGACTTTCTATAGTAAGTTTTTGTATTTTTAGTTTTTTAATTTTGAATCCCTTTTAAAAAAATTCACAAAAAGCTCATTATTTATAACGATTATCCAAAATTCTGGAATTTATCCTTTAATAACCCTTTAAATGTACTCCTATTTTGTATGAATTTATTCTTATTTTTGTATTTACTGAAGCCTTCAGTAGGTTTAATGTAGTTTTAAGCATCTTTACTGAAAGAATTAATTTATAAATTGATATGTGGAATTAAATTGTGCGAAGTTTAAAAAATGCTTGAAAGTTTCAGGGCATCGACAGACTGTTGATGCCCTCAGAGAAGCATCTCAAAGCTTCTCAAATTAAGCTTCGAAGCTTAAATTTGCTGAGTTTTGCAGAAGAAAAAAACCTGTTGGTGCCCGTTAATGTGACATTAGGCATAATTAGCATTTCCCTAATGGTTAGGAAAAACTTGTTCCTTGATTTTTAAGAGAAAAATCATTTATATAATTTACTAAATAAGTTTTATATTATAAAACTAATTTAGTGATACCATGAAACTAAATTATTACCTTATCTTTTTCACTTTTTCAGAACGTCGATTCATGTTAAAATAATATTTACGTTTTTAATATTAGGTTAATGTTGTCAGAAGACAACATTAACCTAATATTAAAAACGTTTATAAAAAATCAACAAAACTTTATAAAAAATTATTGAATGAGTATAAAAAACTCATTAACCTCGTTGAACAGTAGCTGATCTCGTTGAATAATAGTTCAAACCTCGTTGAATAAGTAACTTCAAGCTCGTTGATATAAAATCTTCAAATTGGGTTTAATTAAATCCCATTGGTTGATGGAAAATCAAAAGATCTTTTGGTTCTTCATTTATGTAACGGACGGTATATTTCACAAAATTTCATTCCCTCTTGGTCCTACGGACGTCTAATGGACGTCTGTTTTCATGTAGTTAAAACCATATAATAAAAGACCTCCGTAAGACGTCCGTAGGACGTACAACATGAAGAGGCGACGGACGGACGGAATTGTAACGTCCTCTAGACGTCGTGTAGACGACGTATGCCCACTGGGTGCCTACTAAACTGTTCATTACAATAGAAGATTTCCACTTTATTAATGATATCTGATTCATTTCTAACAATCTTAGTATTTCTCCGGAAGTATTAATATTTCTTTTTAAAATATTTTTTGCTTTAGTTATGGTTTACTTTGATATATTAAATACTTCAGCTGCTTTTCTTAAAGACCGTGAATTTGAAACCAATTATAAAATCTGAATCTTTTCTCTTCTATTTCCTGTTTTCAGCTTTTCTTTCATTGAAAGTATCAATTTATCTAGATCTTCAGCTATCTTCTGATTTTTAACATTGGGCTCCCCAGTAACATCATTTTTCAGGTCTGTTTCGTTAACATTGAGGATAACTGATAGCTTTTTTGGCATTATATCAGTAGCTGGTTTACTTTTCTTTTTTCTAGAGAGATTTTAGCATGTTTTGGAACCCCATGAAATTTTTCTGGTGATAAATCTAATTTATCAAAACTGGTGTCTTCATCAAAAATTGTTTGTTCCAGAAAATTATCTTCACCATTGTGGTCCTGTAAGATAGACCAATTATCTATTTTTTTTACCACTTCTTTTCGACATGAAGGATACATTTTAAAAACAGGTGTTATTTCAATACCAATTGAACATATATCTTTTGCCAGTTGAGTATTAATTTCTCGCAAATCACCTATAAATATATTATAAATTAATAAATTTATATTTTCTAAATACTAATTTAGATAATATAATAATGTTAGAAATACTATTAGATGTATTTTTTGTAAAAATAGAGCACAATAAGTAAAAAGCATAAAAATTTACCATTTATATTAGTTTTATGCTTTTTAAATGGGTCGAAGCAATTTTTTTGGGAGTTAGCAAACCGGTTATGTAAAATTTGTTTATGATTTAAACAGATTTAACATTAAATATTGATATCCCAGATCTCCATAATAATATATTTCTATCGTTCTCTGAATAGTTTGATAAAGCTTTCAATCCAATTGATTTAGTGTACACCAATTTATGACATTGATTATTTGATAAAATATCAACTGTACACAAAATCTTGTTCATTTTATTTTTTTCAATTTTTTATATAGCTATAAATAAACACAAAATACACAGACATATAAACATTTATTAAAAATAGAAAAAAATTAATTTTTTTAACTTTGATTTTATAATTTTTTTTTAAATAAATGATTAGCTATGAAAAACAAACAACAGTTGGTAAAACATCAGACTAATCAGTCTAAGTCTTAGGGTTTTAAATATTGAGTTTCTTCTGTTTTAGTGAAAGATGACATAATATGACAGCAATTAGAAAGCAAAAATTTATTTAAAAAAAAAACATTTATTTGAATTAAGGTTTCTTAAAACAATAGGGTAAAAGGTTTTCTTTCGTATAATATTTGATGACTAATGAAAATTGTAAATGTCAATTAGTTTAAAAAAAAATCATGAACACAGACCTATGATAATAATTTGTTTTACATAATACTCCTATACTTTTACAGAAAATTTCAAAAAAACCACCTCTAAATTTTGCACTAAAAAATCATTAAAATATCTATTTTAATAAAAACAACAAAAAATCATTAAAAAAAATGCTACCATGGTAACCATGGCCTTCTTTTTGCCATTGTTAAAATGTCAAAAATATCTGTAGGAAAAGTACAATATATCGATATTTATCTAAATATTTTCCGTGAAAAAAAAAATTATATTCTGATTCCTCGTCTTAAAAACTATACTCGGGCTCATTTTCAGTTTAATTACATAACTAGTTAAACAGTAACTTGTAAAACAAAAACAATAGTAAAATCAAAATGGCCGCCAAACAGAAAAAACTGCTCCAAATAGCTGATTTTAAAGTAACAATATCTGCAAAACCCCTTTGATATCAGTTCTAAAATTTTGCAAGGTAGTATATGTTATATAGGTGACCATTTTTACAAAGTACAAAAAATTAGAAAAGACCACTCGATCTCTAATTAAGACAGTAAGATCCTAACTATGGAGATAATAATTAAAAATACAAAAAAAATTATAATTCCTATTGTTATAGACCACCTGACGGCAATGTTATTTAATTTTTAAAATATTTGCAACAAGTTTTTATCAAAAGCGATATCAAAAGCCTAATGAAAAAAAAGATTAATCTGTATCAGTGACATCAATATAAATAGTTTAAAATACAATGAACACCCTAATACTAAAACCTTTTTTGGCAATATGTTTCAACACGGAGTCTCCCCAATCATTAATAAACCAACTCGTACGTAATAAAATTTAAGTATAAATCGAAAAATTCAATAAACGGGATAAATATATATTTAGACTAAACTTAGAATAAAACAATATATGCACAAAAATGGTATAAATTATATTCATATATGAATCGCTAACTTGAAAAAAGGGACATGTCCTGCAAAAATTCACATAACACGTCCCCTTTTTCAAGTTAGCAATTCATATGAACTCAGTGTTCTTCAAATATTTCAAAAAAAAAAGAAGGTATAATTTGCAATTAAAAATAAACTGCGTATAAAACCAATGTTTCAAGTAAATTTATATAAACAATATAAACTTGGTGAAAAACGAGTAACTCCACTAAAACAATATAAATTATAATTTAATATGAACTAGATATAACACGAATAACTCCAATAAAAACATATAAACTGTAACTTAATATAAACCAGATAAAAAACAAATAACTTCACTAAAATGTCACAAATTTTTATCAAATATAGTCTAACTATTAAAAAAATATATATTTATCTTAATATAACTAACCGACTAAATACATGTTTTTCTTTTAACTTCCTGCTTTAATCTGCCTTTAAGGTATAACTACTGTTGACAATACTACCTTTAAAATAATTCTTCTGTTATTTTTTCTCAGGTATAAACTTATATTTAAGTTAGCAAATGGACCCTTAACTGACCCCTTTGCTGGATACCCCTAATTTAGAAGGGTTGGGTTTGCCTCTGTATATATATATATATATATATATATATATATATATATATATATATATATATATATATATATATATATATATATATATATATATATTCATTTTTTTAATTTTTATATGTTTAACATATCCATTTTGTAAATTTTATATGTTTAACTTATTAAATTTTATTATATTAGAATATTATGGACGTGGTATATATTGGAATGATGCAACTTCTCAATTATACCTTTGTATTAACCAATATGTTCTGAGGTAACCTATTATGTTTTAATTAAAACCTAAAACTCAATGCTGTAAAATCAAATTTTTAAACTTAATACAAAATAAAGTTAAATGATAACTTTACTTTGCACAGTAATCCGAATCAATTCACGTGAAAATGTTTTTATGTTGAACTTTTTTATAGTGCTTGTTATTCATAGTGTTTTAGCGGTAGTTTTTATTATTTATTTTTTCAATTTTGTTTTGCTTACATGCAATACTTATTTACTTTTGCTGCTACTAGTAATTTAATTTCATTAATAGCTTTATTTATTTCTTCGAGTGTTTTGTAACATTATATTAACTCATATACTGCTAGAGAATGTTGTTGTCTGCTTGTCTAAATGTATGTAAAACTATCTTCATCAACTTCAGGGCTTTTTAAAATAACAGTAGATTTTTTCCTTTTAATGCCGGTATCATAAAACGTTAACAAAAACTATGAACATAGACGTATTTGACTAAATTCTGTTATCGGAACATTTTCAAATCAACACTTAGGTTAAATGCTTAAATAACCTTGAGAATCGGAATTTTTAAGTAAACTGATAATTTAAAAAATACCAATATTATTCCGCCAAAATGTATTCAGATCAAATAAAGTAATTGGATACCAATCAGAATACCGTTAATTTTAGTCATCAACGGCCACTCAATGCTAAATTAAGACAACAAGCCAACAAGCTCAAGTTAATTAATTTGATAATAGTATCATTATTTAAATTATATCTTAAAGGAATCTGGTTTACTATTCCACTATTTTTTAATTCAAAAAATTTTGATATATCCTATTATTGATTCGACTATTTCTTATATTCAATTCAATAATAGTATTAAATTCTCAGTAGAGTATAGCCACTGAGTTTAGTGACTACACTCCGCTGAGAAAAAAATAGAAATATACTAGGTGGTGAAATAACAATCTATTTTTCTTCTATTTTAAAAATTTGTTGATTGGTTGATTGTTGATTGTTGATTGTAAAACTTCTTAATTTGTTGACAATCGAGTATCTTGCAGTCAGATCTTCAGCCCTAAATGTGCTAATCATTCCCTTTTATCACACATAATGGTGCATTAAAAATATAACCATTCATCTATCCTTCTAAAAACATAACTTTTACATATTCTTATATATTAAACTTTTGATTTGCACCATTTTCCGAACGTGGGTGTAGCACTCATATCATTATCACAAGTATACCCAAACTGTATAAAATACATAACAGTTATGTATATTCATTCATAATTAAGATAACATTGATGCCATGGTTTTTCTTGTTTTAGTGAGTTTATATATGACATAAATAATAAATATTATGCTCTGCAGCCCTTAAAAATAAGGAGCGGCAATCCTTCTTTAAGTCCTCCTCCTCAAATTAAAATTTTAATGAAGGACAAACTTCTCCCGAGTTTTAAGGAAAAATTTGTTACCTTTCTGCATTTACAAAAAAATTGAAAAATTCTCTTTACCTTGTTAGCCAACTAAAATGAACTCACAACTTTATTCTACTTATTTATTTATTCCTGTTATTTCTACTGAGCCACTTGAAAAACTAATCACGTGTTTAGTCTAAAAAACTAATCACGTTTTTGTCTAAAAATCTACCGATTGCCAGTTTGCCCATGTTTTAAAACTCACAATCATAGTAAGTTGAATCCGTGTAAAAATAACTACAAAACTTAGACTTATCTTTATCGAAAGTTTTCTGCAAATGGCTTTTGTCGGTACAGACATTTTGTACTAAACTTAAATAAAAATGAAAACAAGCGATGTATTATAGGTCTATATACTTCATTCTACCATTTTTTAATTATATTTTGAGATTATACTCCATCATTGATAACATAACATCAAATTGATGTTTGCAAAAAATTTATCACAAAAGAGTGACAATTCAATTAAAATTATGCTCCTGAATAAAAATTAATTATTGATAAACTAAAAATCTATACGTATTGTGATTTTGCAAACTTAAAATTATATAAAAATAACAGCATTTTTCATCAATTTTACAATTTCCTACAATAATTTTAGAAAATATGAAATACAAGTAATCTAACTAGTAAATAAAATAAAAGGCATATTTTTATTAGAACAAGCTGCTACGAAAAAAATTTGTAATTGGTTTGTAGCCAATTGAAATTATTATCGTTACCAAAAATTTTGTTGGTTGTTCAATCTTTTTTATATTTGCTAGCACATACTTTTTAGTAAAACAGCCATTTAACTGAGGAAGTTTGCAAGCCCCAACGCTTGCAGTACCAATTTCTGCTAACTCATATCAGATTAATATAATTTGATACAAGGAATATCTAATACCTTGTATCAGATGTTTATAAGTTTTGAAAAACAAACTGCAAAATGCTAATGGTTTTGAACATGCAACAAATAAATCTTTATCTCTATCTATCTATTTATCCATATATGTATATATGTATATAAATATATATATATATATATATATATATATATATATATATATATATATATATATATATATATATATATATATATATATATATATATATATATATATATATATATATATATATATATATATATATATATATATATATATATATATATAAAAGAGAGAGAGAGAGAGAGAGAGAGAGAGAGAGAGAGAGAGAGAGAGAGAGAGAGAGAGAGAGATGGAGATTTATTATTTATTAACTTTCTAAACATATAGCTAAATATAAAGGTATTAGTGCAAGTATCAATATCAAATAGAAAAATATGTGTATAGAAGAGGTGACAAAGATGTTTATCAAACATTTTTTTGTAGATTTTTTTGTATTATTTATTATGATTTAAATATTACAAAGAATGAGTAAAAATACATATATTTTCCAAGATGTAAAAATAAAACTTTCATTTTGACATATTTACAACATAAAACATTCACTTTTTTACGAATTAAGATATAAACCTTGATTACTTAACTGTATATTTAAGTGTAAAATATTCCAGTATACACAATACATAATTTTAATAGCTGCGCGACTAATTTGCATTGGATGATTTTTTGCCAAATATTAACACCGCCAATAACTAATACTTTATAAGAAGTCATTGAACTAAATAATACCTTTGCATTTGAATATAGTATTTTTTATTCATGTAATTTAAATATAGAAATTTAAATTACATGAAAAAAACCACCAAACTAATAAGTGACTTTAAAGATGTTTATTTAAAAAAAAAATTGTTTATAATGATTGTTTATTTGATTAAGTTATTTGGTTTTGATGTCTTCTTTTTATCTTCTTTTATCACAGTTAAGTTTTTTTTTTAAATAATTTATTCAGTTTTCTTGTGTTATTTTTTTTCTAGTTATAACTACAATCCTCAAAAAAACTTTGTTATACCTTTCTGTTATTTGTTAAATGTTTTTCTTTAAATTTATAATAACAATAAATAATAAAAAAACAGTTATGTAACAAGAAAGTCTGGCTTTTTAAAAAAACTTTCCTTTTCTACTTTTTAAATGTTGGTTACACTTTATTTAAAGTAACCCACATTCAAAAAAACAACAAAAATTAGCCAGGGTTTCTTCTGACACCTCATCTTTTTTTTTTCTATAAAGAAAATAAACCTATTATATTTATCCATAAGTTATGTAATGATTTGAAAACAACATCTAAAAGGTAATTAAGTTTGTAAAACAACTGATTAGTTAGATTTAGGACCTATACTTATTAAGTTTAATTATAGTTCAACTAGATTTTTAAAGATGTTAGAAAGCTTAAGTAGTGTTGTAAAGTTTTATGCAAACAAGTTCTGAGTCATAAGTAATGACCGATGAGTAATGTGACTGGAAAGTTAATTGCATGATATTGTTTTACAGCAAAGAAAATGCTATACAGATTATAATAAACTAAAGGTAGACCTGAAGTATTATAATGGTTTATATAAAATAAATTTTTTATTATGTTATAATGCTGATGATCAATCATATAAATATGGTTTTTAAATATATACCCAGCAGGCACAATGACGTTGAAATAACGTTGAAACAACGTCGCAAACCGACCATATACCACGTTGAAACAACGTTGAAATTTGGTTGAATTGGAAATAAAATCCGACGTCAAAAACTACGACGTTGAAACAACGTCGATGATTACGTCGTTTCAACTTTGATCTAACGTTTTATCGACTATATATCAACCATATTTCAACTTTGAATAGGTGATATATTCGATTGATACGTAGTTGATAAGACGTTAGAACAACGTTGAAACAACGTAAATTCAACGTTGATTTTTGTTTTTTATTTTGGTTAAATCCAATTAACTAAAAAATTATCTCAACTTTAATTGCAATAAAATAATACAATGAAAAAGCAATAATTTGCGCAGAGGATATTATATTTCACGTAAATTATTCAGATACAACTAAATTGCTTCAACGGACTTTATATACAATGCAAATAAAGTAAAATGTTTGAAAAAAAAAAGTTTTATTTATCAGTAATATATTTATCAGTTTATCAATAATAACTATTATCAATAGTTCCAGAACAACTAGGAAAAAGTATGAATGTTATACATCGGGTGAATTGCCTTTTACGCGCCGATCACCACCATTTGATCTGTCGAGTGCGTGTTTTAATAAAGTCATTATTCCTTTTCTTATTTCGGTAACTGTAGCAGTCACTTTAATTGACAAAACGCTCTCTATAAAAAAAGGTATTTCCTGAGTAATTTGCATCAAATACATCAAAAAGTTAAAAATTAAATAGCATTAAAAAAACGAACTGTGATTTTTAAAAAATATATAATTTTACACTTAACTTACAAGTAAATACCTAATGTTTGTTCCTTTAAACTTCTCTTTACCTTTACCGCCAGCCATATTAAATTTCGATTATAAACCGTTGGTCAACAACCTGCATTATACATTGTTATTATTATTACAGTTACATTAAAAATTGCTAAAACTAAGTAAAAATAATATCAAACTTTTTATATTTACCAGTGTCATTTTCTTTAATATAACTGCAGAATAAACAATCAAGTTCACACAAATTATAATTCTAAAATAGAATTTAATGAGGAAAAAATTCCTTTAATTTTTATGTACTTTTGAAAAAAATTTTATAAAAATAATAATATTTTTATAAAAGTTCTGAAGACTCCTACAAAAATTGCTATAAAAGTTTTTTTTTCAAATATCATAAAGACTTTATAAAGAAATTTTTACACAAAGTTGAGAAATTAATCAATAAAAAGTTCTGAAAAAAGCTAATAAAAAAACTTTATTTTTAATCAAAAAGTTCAACATACTTTACAAGTTGTGAGACACTTTGTCAGGTTAAAAGTTTGATTAAGGTTGCATGCTGTCATACACTAAATATAAAAAAAACGAAACACCTGTTAAACTAAAAATTAATTTTTATTATTAGAAACAAGCCTTAGAAGAAATAATGTATATTTAAATTCTGTAGAATGGTAAAATCGTCATCGTCTCATATAAATTTATTACAAATGTCTCCTGATTTCTTATAATACTTAATTTTGTAAAACTATACCAACAACTTCTATAACTTCTGCTAAATAAAGCCTGTAGGCTTTATCTAGGCTCTATCTAGCTTTATCTATTTTATTTCGGCCAACTTGATGATTAAAAAACTCAGAAAAATTTTACTTAAAGTAAGTATATTTACTCCAAAATAAATTTCATCAGAACTTTCATCATTTAAAAACTAAAAGATAATCTGTTTTGTTATTTTAGGTGTATCAGTTAAAATATGCAATTTTCTTTTACACCTATTATGTGTTTTTTGTATTAGTTGTTATTCTTAACCTGGCTTTGGAATGAGGTCGTATTATTTAGGTAAAACAATAAATAATATTGATGGTAAACTCACAGGAGCCCTTTCTCATAAACTAAATGATGTCGATGGTGAAATGGCAGGAGCAGTTTTAACACCAATACTATCATTAGAAATAGAAACTTCAGTATTCACTATTGGCCTATCAGTAATATTTGCAGCTAAAATATTTAAAGCAATAAAAATACTTTCACCCATGTTCCCCAGGGCTGTCCTGAGCAAAGGGGTGTCTAGCCCCTGGTGATTTGTCATTCTTTGTTAGTTATTCTGGAAAGACAATCTGGTGATCAACTTTCTGGAGGAATATATTGGTTTCCTACTTATAATAAAAGTAAGTTTTAAATGTCTTTTGCAAAATACAAATTATTCTCAATGAAAAATTGCACAAACCGCAAAGATTTCTTACCAAACCGTAATGCAAGTAAGAAAAAGAATTGATACAGGGAAAGAGTTTGGTCCAAAGAGACCACCTTCTAAAAGCAATAAAACACCAAGAGCGGACAGTATAATCAGAAATATCTGCCTGTAAAACAGAAAAAAAGCCACTAAGCTTACCCATGTAGCTGTAATTGTTGTGTCAGACCGGACCATTTGTAGAAGGCTAAAAGAAGAGGGACTGATGTCCAGCCAAAAAAGTCAAAAAGTGACAAAAATGTTAAAAATAATGTCAAAAATCTTATATTTATGCAAGATGGTGCAACATGCCACACTATAAAAACTGTTATGGCTTAGTTGATGTATTGCTATGGCCAGACAATTCGCATGATCTTAACCCCATAGAAAACATTTGGGAAATAGTAAAGCAAAAGATTGGAAAAAAAAAATCTTACTAATAAGCAAGATCTTATGGAAGAGATTATCAAGATCTGGTATAATAACCCAGAGTTGACAAAAACTATAAAAAATAAATTGCAAGCATGCCACAATGCAATGAAGCAGTTATTGCAAATAAAAGTGTTTTTGCAAAATATTTATACTTTATATATATTTTATATAATTTATCATAATAATCAATAAATATTCAAAATGTTCAACTTTATTTATTTATTTTTATCAAGTACAACTTTATAAATAAAAGAAAAAACTTTAAATTGCACCATTATTATTATTATTATTATTATTATTATTATTATTATTATTATATATATATATATATATATATATATATATATATATATATATATATATATATATATATATATATATATATATATATATATATATATATATATATATATATATATATATATTCATATAAGCATATGTATGTATATATACATACATATATATGTATGTTTATTTATGTACATATGTATGTATGTATATATAGAGTAGAAAAAAAGGTTAAGTATGCGTTACAAATCAACCTTTGTACTTTAAGGTTGTTCTTTAGCTCAAGGAAATACAAAAGTAAGAGTAAACAGTTACAAAAAAAATTATAATCAGACATAAAAAAAAAAGATTTATTTCATGTCTGATTAGAATTCGTCAAACTTTTAAAAATATATGCTACACATATTTTTAACACAAGTTTAAAACAAACTATAATAAAAAGATTCAAAAGATTTTTTATTTAAAACTACTTTTAACAAACCTTTGCATCACATTTATTTGTATTTGTCTTAATGGTTTTACCTCCAATTTTAGAAAGTTTGTTAACCTAAAGGTTTAAGAAAATAATTACACCACATTATTTTTAAAGTACATTTATAAAAAGTTACAAGTAGATTAACTTAGGCTAAGTTATTAATAAATACATAATCAAAAAACAATAAAAAAAACTGCAAAAAGTCATGGTTTGAAACAACTCATCACTTCTGACCTCAACCAAGAATCATTTAAACTGTTATCATAATCATTAAATTACTGCTGCAAGTTCATCCATAGAATTTCAGAACTATTTGTCATGATATTACTTTAATTACTGGAAAAAAAGTTTTTACTAACATCTCTTTCTAACAATAAAGATATATCAGAAAGACAAAAGAACCAAACATTAATTTCTAAAAGCGTTGAAACACAAGAACAAAAAATTTATAAAATTAAACATTATTCATAAATTAAATAAAATGTATTAATTTAGCAACCAAAGAAATGTGTAAATCACTGAAGCATAGAAAAAAATGTTTAGAATCTTTTCCTAAATCAACTTGCAGACAGACAATTAATACCTTGAGCTACAGTATGTGGAGTATGCATAAAAATTGTTTTCTGTTTCTTTTTTTTTGCGTTACAGGAGTAAATATTTGCTTACTATTCTGTTGGTTATTATGTTTTCTCTTGCATAAGCATGGTAGTGGCTCCTATAAAAATTAATACCAAAATATAACAAATAATACTTGAAAAAGATACTTTTGAAATAGTTACCGTTTTCTGAACTTGATTTTATCTGAGTATCACTAGTAGAGGCAAATTCAAATTTATTACATAACTCATGATCTAAGAACATTTATTCAATTTAAAAATGTTTTAAATACATTATATAATAAAGAATATATAATAAAGAATATATCTAAACACTGAAAACAACATATACAGAATGAAAGCATGTTAAAAAAACAAGGAAAAAAAGTTATGACTTAAGGTTTATATTAAAAAAAATTACATTATCTCCATGACATTTAACTTTGAGCAGCGTAAATCTGTATTAGTTAGATGCGGTCTATGCATTTCATTGAAACAATTTATTACATTTAATGATGGCCAGCACAAAAAATTATCAATCAAATTTTCTTTATTTCTCTGTATTTTCTATCCAAACAGCTCGAATGAACATTTTGCATGTCCTACAATACTTTTTCAACTGGAAAAGTATAGTAGAAAATATAATAGAAAAAATACTTATATATTAAAAATTTGTTCATGTAAAATAGCTAACAGAAAAATACAACTTTAAACTACACGTTATGATGCATTATACAGTTGCTAAAATTTGCTAAATTTTTATGTTGATCCTTCTACTAACCAATATGGATTAAAGGGACTTAATCCTTCTACCAACCAACATGGACTAAAGGAGCATGCACAAATTCTTTTTTATACAACTTTACAAGAAAAATCTTTAAAAATTTAATAAAAATTTTTTAATATAAAAAATATTCAAACTCTTTAAATCATTATATATATTTATATTATTATATATATTTATATTATGTATGTATATATACATATATAGTATATGTATATATTATATATGCATATTATATATATGTATATATATATATATATTTATATATATATATATATATATATATATATATATATATATATATATATATATATATATATATATATATATATATATATATTATATATACATATATATAATATGCATATATAATATATACATATATTATATATACATATATATAATATGCATATATAATATATACACTATATATGTATATATACATACATAATATAAATATATATACTATATATATATACATAGATATACATATTTATATATATATAAATATATATATATATATATATATATATATATATATATATATATATATATATATATATATATATATATATATATATATATATATATAGATATATATATATATATATAGATATATATATATATATATATTATATAAATAAGAAAAACATATATAATATATATTTTATATTTATATAATATATCAAGTAGTCTCTACTTGTATTCCACACTCATGAAATAATACGATCATAAAGAAATATCCATTTAATATTTACCTAACTAACTGCATCACAAGTTAAGCCATGTATTATTGTTAAATTGTCAAATTCAAAACCTTATAAAAAGGCAACAGATGATCTAATTTATTTGCATGTGTGACTTTACTTGTTTTTATTGGGCTAATAAGTTACTTGTTGAGTCTTTACTTGTTATTTGTTATGCTGATAAAAAAATTTTAAAGTCACGCATGCGTATTTTAGTTCTCATATTGCAATTACGAACGGTCGAACTCGTAATATAGATGTTGAATTAACGTGGAATCAACGTCGATTTTATTTGAAAGTTTTAAACAAATTTTTCAACGTTGATACAACGTTGATTTTTGGTTATATGACGTCGCGACTAAAAATCAACTGTAAATCAACGTCGAAATAACGTCGTGTGCCCACTGGGTATAAAGATATTTTGTGATATTTTCGTGTATTATAACTTAAATTGCTTTATGTCTAAATTAAATATTTTAAACGCTGCCTCATATAACTATTGATTGGTTTGAAATTTACACTTGAAGTTTGTGTAGCGGTTACTTTTTATAAAATACAGGTTTAGAACCAACATTTGAAAAAAATGAATTTTCAGACTAGAATTACTCATGCTAATAGCTTCGTTTTCAAGCCTTGTTACAGCCGCAGTATTTAAATATTTGATTACATTTAACCTAGTAATGCAATCAAGCAAGTTCTACTTCCATACCTGTAAAATTATAAAAAAACTATAAAAATGTCGAAATCATTCTGCAGGTGGTTTTTTCTAAATTTAACACACCGCAAAGTGACCATTTTGTGACCGTCAAGCCTAAAATGCTTTTTTTTTTAATTTTTTTTATGTTAAAGTTTTAGTTACCTGTATATAAATACTGTATCAGAATATAAAAAAAACTGCTAAAACAAAAAATTAGAGTTTTTTACCCAAATACCACTTTAACAGTAATTATAAAATTCCTGACACATTCCATGCGATTTATGATTATAATGTCTACCAAGCAAAAAAGTTTAACCAAAAGCAAGTTAACCGGATGGTATTTTAGGAACAATACTTTAAGATTACGCACTATTTTGTCTATGCTCATAAGTCAGACCAACAAATAAAGCTTTGCTCAATTTAAGTTTCATTCTGCATAGAAAGAAGCTCTTCTAATTCTGATTAAAATAACCCTTAACTCTTTGCAACACAGCAAAGAAAATGGAGAAGATTACTCTTAAGCAGCTGTTTATTCCTTCCGTTAGGAAAAGTTTATTCCTTCTCAATTTGTTTTTGTGCTCGGCCCTTATTACAGTTCAACTAACTCTCCGCTGAAACTGCTTTTGAGCCTTAAACAAACTCTTATCTCAGGTGGGAATGCTCGATGTATTAGTATCAACTTTAGAAAATAATTTGATAAAATTTCTCCTTGAGATGTCCCCCATGCAGCTAAAAATGAATTTAGGATACTGGATTATAAAAACAGTCTCCAAGAATCAACTTTGTTAACTTAGTCATTTACTGCTAAAAATGTCAGCAACAAAAAAATCAATTGATTGATTTCTCCAAAAGGTTCCAATTTTTTTTCCAAGTTTTTTTGGGGGCAGTTAGAAACCAAACCCTTAATCAAACTCCACGGTGCGACATTCTAAAGAGGCACTAAATGAAACACTTACTTCAAAAAATTCGATTGAATCGATGCACTGGAGTGTTGGCTATTTATTGCTCGGCATCAAAATTTTATCCTTCCTGATTTAATATTTAAAATTTATCTTGCCTAAGTCTTTTCTCATATCGTTTACGCTTGGCTCATGTTTCGCTATTATTGATTAGAGCAGACAGAACTACATGTCTGAATTCTATTACAATTTAGTATTCCCGTATCTACTTCAATGTCTTGAATT